TCGATTTTACAGAGTTATCAAATCGCCTCTTTTTCGAGTCTACGGGTAACTTTGTAGACCCGTCTTCATCACCATCACTCTCTGAAGACATTATTCTCCTCCAAAAGCACTCTGTCTTGAAAAAGACAATTTAATTTAAAATAAAACAAAATTTTATTTGAAAAAACGCGGCTCTCCTTTTCCCGCCAAAAAGGAAGTCCCACAGAGTACAGACTGAATACAGGGTTGCCAACTCCAACAAAATGTTCCCCCTAAGACCAACTTCAAATACCCCAAATAAATTTCGATCAAAAACCCCTAAAGTTTTTGATGTACACTTGGTTTAAGAGATAATTTCAAATATGAATTAAAAATCCGTTGAAGTAGTAAAAAATTGCACATAAATGCGTGAGTAGGTACATTTTAGATATTTATATATGTTAATCAATGACCAAATAATATTATTGATAATAGTAGGGGAGTCCAAGCGGGGATTTCGGGATTTACTAAAGCGCGGCAGATTAATATACAGGGGGATACCTTGTACCCGGTTAAGTACCTCCACAAAACATGAGGCCCATATATAAGGCCGCCCGTGAAGGATACAGGATCAGATTAGTAAAAAAAATTGACCATCAGAAATTCTCGAGCGCGTCAGATTAAGGAACAGCTTTCTGTGTCTGATATGTTATATATTTTCACTATTTTTCTCAGCCAGTCCCAACAAAGAAAAGTATAGTACATCACATGAAAAAATGGCACAACTCGAACAAAACTGACCCCGCCAAAGAGGGAATGTGTCAAATATGTGGTCAAATGTTTAGGGTATGTTGAAAAAAAATAACTAGATAATTTGAATCTTGCTGATATTTCATATCTGCAGTTTCATACACAATTTTTTTAAATCTTATAAATAAACAAAAAGTAATATAATATTATAACAATTGATAATGTAAATGTGAAATGACTCAGACATAAGTAAAAAAATTATATCATCTGCACACAATTTATATACATATATAATTATGGTATACTTTTTCAGTGCAAAAAAGTACTCAGTGAACATATTATGAGACATACTGGCGAGCGACCTCTATCCTGTGAGATCTGTGGCAAATTGGCAATACATTTAGACAAAAGGCTTCGTTATACACGCACAAGCGACTAGTACATAAGACATTATATCCTAAGAAAAAGCATATCTCACTTATTACATAAAAACACAAAATTATATCTATGGAACCTTAATCGGCATATTGATGTAATCTTATGGTATTTTTAGTGAAATGTGTAAATATGTACCTCTAATAAATGACCAAAAATAATAATTCTTATTATTTATTATAAAAATAATTTTGTGATTAGAATTTATCACCACGAGTATTTTGAAGAGTTTATTTCGTTAGTAACATTCATAAAAAATATTTCAACGTGTTACGGACTTCCTTTACAAGTTGGGTTAAAAATCGTTGTTTCTATTTATTATGAGATACATTACATACGTATTTATTCAAAAGGTATTCAAACTTTAATCAACGACTAGGTAGGTACCATAAGTTAAGTCTGCTGAAGAATTGAAGATTAGTACGTAATACATACAGATTGTGTGCGTTTTCCAATTCCAGAGCATTTTTCGACTCAGTGCCACACAATGCCGCATAATGCTGAAGCTTAATTGGAACGTGAATTAGTTTTCAAATGCATCAGCAGAGTGCGCTAAGTCAGTGTTGACAAAAAAATGGTCTGAATAGAGTTAGCAACCTCATTAATGTATAAATAATGTGGTAAACAATAATAATTGGTTGAAAACTTTTTACGCTTAATTTAATAATCAAATTATTTCATTAAATTTTTTTTACTGAAATAAGAGAAAACCTTTAAAGAATATAAGGTTTTAACAAGCTAAATTAACAGTAAAATATTTAGTTTCATGTAAGAAGTTTACATCATTTACGTTTTGAGTAATATTTTTTAATGATTTCTAAAAAAAATATATACCTTTTCAAAACCATTGCAATTTTTTCTAAAGTATAATCCTGTAAAGTAAATTTGTTTACAGATCCGAATTTTAAAATAAAATTGTATTCATATTTTAAATGTGGAATATAAAAAAAGTAACTATTTATACCTTCATCCATACTAATATTTATTTTTTTAGCAGTTTGAAATAACTTTAATTATTTTCAAAATCTACGACGAAACGAAAGCCTTACAAATTTTTCAACAAGAAATAATATTTACTAAAGAAAATTTCGATAAATGCCAACTTAAAGAAAAATACTGGTCAATTTTCTGTCACTGTCTTGGTATTGTTTGTGAGAGCATTCGTTTTGAGAGTGCTCAATTTGGTCTAAGATCCCGCTATACAACGACCTTCACCGAGATGCTTATTTAATGAAACATATTTTATATTAAATTTAATATGTCAATAAATATAATCCATATGGGTTGTCTAGCAAATTTCAGTCCAGAGTATGTTTAATTAATAATTTAAAATAAATATTTTTTTAAACATTTCACCGGTATGATTATTAGATAAATTCTATACCAATCGAAAGTATGAAGCCCATAGAATATGCAAACTTTATGCTGCCCATTCTTTTCCGGTCACAACTATCGGGTTGCCTGGTATAAACAGGTAAATCTGTACTAGCATTTTGCAACGGTCTGTTTATTGAATGAAATTTAAATGAAATTAAAGATTATTTTATTCTGAACACGGTGGTATAGGGTTGTCTGCGAAAAATCAGTCCAGAATTGCGGTTGTCGAATTTTAAAAAGTAAAATATTGCTAAAATTATTATGATTTAAAATTATCTTAGCTAATACATCTTCTATATTTCTATATTAAAATATAATATATATATATTAAAATATATATTTTATTTTCGTAAATTCCACGTGGCTTAATGCAACGGATCCAATATGCGTGAAATTTGAGCCTGAGAACTGCGGACGGTTCTTAGATGAATATTTAAAACCAGTAGGATTCATTGGGGATCATACACCTTTAAAGATAGAAGACATTGTCGAAAAAAGTGAAACAGAAAGTGATGACGAAGAAGATTCAGAAGTTGAAGATCGTAGTTTTATGTCCTATGACTCGGATTCTGAATAATTAAAAAAAAAATTGTATTTTTAATTTTTTACAATAAATAGAAGTAATTTTTTAATTGTTGTTTTTGAAGTTATACTTCTTTAGGCGCGTTATGAAAAATTGATGAGAGTGAAATTTTACGATGCGCGCGCACCGTGACACTAAATTATCAGTATGGGCGCCGAGCGTGCGCGAGCGAGATGGAAATAAGACAATCTACAAGTAGAAAGAAATAGAATATGCGTGAAGTTAGCAGCTATGCTAAGAATTTTGAATGACCATAATGACATTTACCTTTTAAACAAATAAAGGAGTTTTAATTATTTTTTTCAAATAAATTTAGGAATGCTTTTTCACAAAGACCTATTGTTACTTAGTTAAAAGGTTATGAAACATACGTAGTTATTAAATTGAATGAATAATATAATAAAATAATAAATAATTATTGATATTAATTAATAATTGAATAATATACTAAATATTATTAACGTTAAATATTTGTTATTAATTATTTTATATTTTAAAAAAATAAAGAAAGCCAAAGAAGTTTAACTTCTTACGCGCGTACATAAGTACACGCATCCTTTTTTATTTTGTCTTCTTATAATAAAAATAAAATTTGCAAGATTACCCTGATTAAAAAAATTCACTTTTATGGGTTTTGAATTTTTTCCAATAGTTTCAATTGATTTCAATTTCTCTGTTTACATTTATAGATTTATAATTTGCATGTAGTAGGTAAATTTTTTAATTTTTTTCAATCAATATTTTTAATCAGGGTTTTATTATATATGAATCACTACAACCTTCTTTTTTTACTAAAGATGTATATTATATACTTTAGTGTCACATAAAAAAATATACACATAAATAATTAATTGATAAAAAAAAATTAAATAACTATTTCTCTATTTAAATAATAAACTACTCCAAAATGATGCGTAATTATACGAGTCCATCGCTATCCTTTTCTTTTCCAAGCCCAAATAGCATGCGCACTCTCATTCTTTAAGTGGGCGGACTTTAAACAGCTGCTATGCTGTGTCCTCTTCTATCGCATGGGATGGTCGGTTGGGACCTCTCAGTCGCACACATTCACTTGGAGCAATATTTTACTTTTTAAAATTCGACAACCGCAATTCTGGACTGATTTTTCGCAGACAACCCTATACCACCGTGTTCAGAATAAAATAATCTTTAATTTCATTTAAATTTCATTCAATAAACAGACCGTTGCAAAATGCTAGTACAGATTTACCTGTTTATACCAGGCAACCCGATAGTTGTGACCGGAAAAGAATGGGCAGCATAAAGTTTGCATATTCTATGGGCTTCATACTTTCGATTGGTATAGAATTTATCTAATAATCATACCGGTGAAATGTTTAAAGAAATATTTTTTTTAAATTATTAATTAAACATACTCTGGACTGAAATTTGCTAGACAACCCATATGGATTATATTTATTGACATATTAAATTTAATATAAAATATGTTTAATTAAATAAGCATCTCGGTGAAGGTCGTTGTATAGCGGGATCTTATACTAATTGTGCGAAGCGTTGCTGTAGTTGGAACACTCAACGTTGAGCATTATGCCGCAAAATGCGCTCTAGTGCTGTAATTGGAAAACGCACACAGTGTTACTAGACTTCAGCCGCCAGCCGTAGTATCGAGTGCATTAAAAATTGTAGTCTAAGCTGTCGTCTGTCAGTGACAAACAGCATTCAAATGAAGGTGACATATAACATGTCAGAAATATCAAAATATATATTTTTAAAATTTAATGTCAAATGGCGTCCTAGGCATATTTCGTTTTTATATGTTTGTTTCGATAAATTTTGTATTTTATTTAGCGACGATACAATTAATTATGAAGGATAATTTAATATTGTCCTATGAACTGTAAGTTTTATTATCAAAATGGAAGCCCATTTACACGACGTGCCTGTCCTAAGTACTTTGCAACCGATGCACATTCATCAACAACAACAAAATATAAATCAAATAAATATTCAGCATCAGCAGCAAGTAGAACCTCTTCCGCCGCCTCCAGAGCACAAGCCAAAAGTAGATAAAAAGAAAAAAGAGGCTATAGATGGACAAGCACGCGAAATCATATTCAAAGTAATCAAATTCTTCGAAAGCGAAAAGCAAAATAGAGGATATGCATTTCCAGTGGAAAATGTAGTAAAACGCGCCTGTGCAGCAACTGGGCTCTCAGAAAGTACAATAAAACGAATAAAAAAGGGAAGGACTGCGCGCTGAGGCGACCCAAACTAAAATGACAGGTCCTAAGAAGAAACGAATGCGAAAAACCAAAGTTCAGTTAGATTACTATAAACTGTGTGCTCTGCGTGGCATAGTAAATAGTTACGCGTCAAGAAAAGAAGTACCAACGTTAGGTAAGATTCTAGCTGCTGCTAAACACGAGCTAGATTATAGAGGTGGTAAGGAATCGCTAAGATTAATATTACTTAATAAATTAGGTATTAAATTTAAAAAATGTGAAAAGAAAAAGAGTGTTAAACAAGAAGAGGTTCCTCCACAGTACCAGCCTCCACCCCCAGTAATGACACATATCCAAATGGAGCCAATGAAGCCAGAAAACCATTGTATTTATACAAATATGATGCCTCATGTTCCACCTGTGTCTTATTAACAGTATTAGTGTACATATGTTCTGTGAGTAAAAATATGGAATTTATTATATTAATTTGCATGCACGGCATGTATGGTGATATAAAACATTGTAATAAGTGTACAATCTTATTATACATAATATGTTTTCCATAGAATAGATTCTATGACAAACATACAATCAATTAAACAATTTTTTTAAGTTTCACAGTAACCAGTGATTATTTCATAGATATTGAAACAATTGGCTATGATTATCCTCTAGTTAACAAAGGTTACTCTGTAAGCCCTGTACAATGTGTTGAATATTTAACATTTAGTTGGTATAAAATATACTATGATAACAATAATCTTAGTTGTGTGGGCACAGATTAACATACATATTTACTGAAAATATTATATTAATATAATTATTTTAAATCTTAAGCTACTCCTGAAAATATACTTGTAATATGAAACCTCAAGTTTGAACCACTATTGTAAAATATGTATCTTTAAATAGGAACTACTATTAAGTACTATCATTAATTTTACATGTATATAATTAGAAATATGTATTAATAATGCACCTGTTTTGTACTTTTGTAGAAAATGCAATAGGTAAATGAAATTAAACAAAAATAATTTTATGCACAATCATTAATGTAATAGTAAAGGTTAAATTTGTTGCCTCTGTAGCATTATTACAACCAGCAAGTTCCCCAGCTTACAGCTTTGTGGGTTTGACGCCCCACGGCCATACCCACAAGCGTTGAAGTCAGTATTATCCTAAATTATGCTGAGGTTATCCAGGTCAAGTAGAAATCCAATATGTCAGCAAGGAATGAGATGTGACATACGGGAGTCATACTTTGCGTATAGTCTCTTCTCTAAATTTTAGTGCTGCAATCGGAAGACTGCTGGATCTGCTGTTGGTTGTTCTTCCTTTTTTTACATGCCCAAGGACTAATTCTTGGAGAATAAAATTAATTTTTTGCTCTGGCAGCTGACTACCAGTTTATTTGATTATGATATTAAATTAATAAAGTATGTATGTAAAATTATTTTGATTTTACACCTTAATAACAATAAATTTTATTTATAACTTATACAAATAAGGCTGAATTAATTATAACTTTATGCATTGAGATATATTGTAAATTTATTATAAATATAGACTGTGAGTAAAACATACATTTCGACTTTTCCTTACCTTTCCTTAGGGAGCGTTCCAGTATTACGTAACGTATTTTGGGAGGGGGGGTCCTTTAAAATGGGGGTAAAACGTTACGATGCGGGGCGGGGATTAAATTACACGTTATTGTTAATATTTTTTTCGACTTACACCATATAATAGTAACTAAAGAGGCACTAGGTGGTCACGAAACGTTTTACTATACTTGGGTACTGAAAAACGTTACGGCGAGTAACATGGGGGGGGTCAATAATCTCCAAAAATTGCGATACGTAATACTTGAACGCTCCCGTACTGATCACTTTGATATAAATAATTGCTAATAGTTCTTGAATATATAGTAATGTTCGGGAACCAAATTACAATAACTAAGTAAGTAGGTAAATTTTATTAACAGATTTTCTTTGAAAGAGTTATGTTTTACTATGAAACTGGAAGGCATTTAAATTAAACACAGTTTGAATGCAGTATTTTATTCAACTGTAAATGATAATCGCGTCTGAGAGATGTTTGTGTTGCGACCGTTCGTGCGTCTTTCTAGCGTACGACTGTGCAAACGCCGCAGGACAGTACGAACACTTGTATGGTCGCTCACCTGTGTGCGTCCTTGTGTGATTTATTAGTGTGCGGTTTGTCTGAAAGTAATTAAAATTATTTTGAAACAACACTATATATATACAATCAATAAAACTTAACAGATCCAAAGACCAATTACATTGCTCGTGTGCATTTCAGTAATTTAAGATATTAGAGATTTTAATGTAATTATAGCTCATTTATATCCGACAAAGAAGAGTTATGTAAATGTGTAATACTCGCGTAACCCAAACACCATTATGGAAATAAATTGGGGTCATATTTTTATAAGAACTAAAACTAAATATTTATTGAGCAGTGTTGGCCTTGTGGCTTCAGCGTGCAACTCTCATACCTGAGATCTTAGGTTCGATCCTTGGCTGTGCACCAATGGACTTTCTTTCTTTTGGTAGGGGAGCCCAAGAGGGGATTTCGGGATTTACTAAAGCGCGGCAGATTAACATATAGGGGGATACCTTGTACCCAGTTAAGTACCTCCACAAAACATGAGGTCCATATATAAGGCCGCCCGTGTAGGAGACTGGATCAGATTAGTAAAAAAAAATTGACCATCAGAAATTCCCGAGCGCGTCAGATTAAGGTAGGGTGAGTTAATTACATCTTAAAAAGTGTATATTCCACTAATCTGACAATTTGAGAGTGACGTTAAAAAAAGGGGAGGGCAACAAAGTTGTAAAAAAAAAACGTCATCTCGACATTCTCGAGCGTAGCTAATTTTTTTTTTATTTTGAAGGAAATAATTCAAGAATAATGAAAAATATATAATCTGACGATTTCCGCAAACCGAAATAACAAAAATTCGTCGATAAAGTTAATTGCGTGCAGCTGCGTGATGCCTACATTTCCTTAAACCGATTGGAATCTACTAAACGGCGTTCTAAATATTTCCCTCAAAATTACATTTCCTGTGAATTTGAACCGATTCGGACCGATAGATTTTGAGAAATTTTGAAAAATCTTAAAAAAATAAGAAATATTTTTTTTCAAGTGGTTTCTTTATCGATCAACTTCAAAAACGAATCCGCCTTTGAGCTTGAAAAACCACGTCGATCGCCACCAAGCTGGTCAAAAGCGGTTGATTCGTTCGAGAGATATCGTGACCCCGAAAAAGTGTTTTTTCGGAATTACTCCGAAATTTGTGGTTCGATCAATTAAAATTGCAAAATTACTTATGAGGATGATAAAACTGCGTCGAATGCCGTCAACCTTGTGAAAATTGCTTGATCCATTCAAAAGTTAGTGCGGTTTGAAAATTCCAAAAATAGTGTTCTATGAAACTTCTATCATACTTTCGAGCTGGGAGAGCTCAAATGCATAGAAATATTATTTCTTTGAACTCAGGGAACTTAAATTATCAATTTTAAGCACCCAGGAATGGAATTAGCGTGAAGTTGCAGGGATGGCCTTTAAGGTGAACCGTTTTTCTAATTTTTTTTTGTCAGATCAGTCGAATCCCTCTAGATAATCGTCAGATTATGAGACAGTATGTTTAGAACATAAAGATGAACCACATATATCTTAATCTGACGCGCTTGAGTATTTCAAAATTGCGATTTTTTTTTGCAAATTATGAAAATGGCCGTGGGTTTGCGTCCCATCGAAATCGTCAGATTAGTGAATGAGAGCTTTTTTTTGGTGCACTTAACACTCCCTTAAAAAATCTGACGCGCTCGATAATTTTTTTTTTTTTTCATTTTCAACCCTTAAATACAACCACCCGCATCATGCAAACGATCAGATTAACATACGTACATTATTAAAAATACGTAGGGCATTGATGCTATCAATATCTGACGCGCTCGAGGATGTCCATGCAACAGTTTTTTTTTACATATTTAACAATCTATAGCCGCTTCCCCCACCGATGAAAAGATATATATCATATAACATTTTTTTCTTCTTATCATCTAAGCTTTGCATCCCAATAGGTCTCTACGACGCTCGAGTAAATCCCCATTTAGCATCGTGGGCTCCCCTACCATTTGTAACATTTTACGCATTTAACATTTGCTTGAACGGTGAAGGAAAACATCGTGAGGAAACCGACACGTCTTAGACCCAAAATGTCGACGGCGTGTGTCAGGCACTGGAGGCTGATCACCTACTTGCCAATTAGATTTAAAAAATGATCATGAAACAGATTCAGAAATCTAAGGCTAAGACCTAAACAGGTTGTATCGCCACTGAATTTTTTTTAAAACTAAATATTGGTATCATTGGCACTGCAAATTAAAGGGTCTCATGACGTGATCCCGACTCTAGTAAGTAAAAAACGTTTTGTAGTTTGATGATTTGAGTTGTTATACACATTCTTCATAATATTTTAAGAGAATCAGATCATCGGCTAAAGGTTGAAGGTAAAAACTATAAAAAACTTACATGAAACCCTCGTCCACAAACATCACAAATTTTATCTTTCGGCTTCGCAGTTTTTTCGTGTACAAACTTCCTGTGAGTGCGAAGTGAAAATCCGCTAATGAAATGCTAAAAACATGTAACCATTTATTTTATTATTTGGCCTAGTGGATTGAGCGTGCTGCCTTCCTCCCTGGGTCGTTCGAACCCCGGAATCCTGGGGGAATCCAACGGACATTTTTACAGGCGCATTTGACACTCGCTCGTCGTAGCCTTGTGTGCCTGACACACGGTGTAAATTGTCTAAAGAGCGAGTGTTTTAAATTGCGCACACAGCTCAATCCATTTCTGAATTGCCACGAAGCTCACGACCTCAGGGTTAACAGGCGCACGCTCAAGTTCAACACTGTCTATTTACCTACGTCCAACAAATTGTCTATTTAACACAATTTTCCCTAGATTAGCACAAACAACAAGCTTCAGCTTTATAATTGAAGATCCTATAACTCTAGGACATCAAAAGCTGACCTGATGAGTACTTATGTTCAAAAATCAATATTTTTTTTTTGAGTTTATGGCCTGGTATCTAGACCTTTAGGCCAAGTCTTGAGTATTTTGATTCGGTTTATTATAATTTCCACACTGTATTTTTGATGAATTTATATAGAGGCACGTAATAGGATCTATTTTTTAATATATCACTCAGGCGGCGGGCAAAAACCTATATCAAATTTAATTTCTAGGATAACTGACGTCTTTAGGGTTTTTGGTGTGACAATGCCAGCCAATTATTACAAAATTGCTGAAGTTACGTGATAAGCGTGATAACTTACCTTACTACAAATCTCGCAGTAATGCGATGATGATCTAACATGAACCAACTTATAATGGTTCTTCATATACGCCTTACGGGAGAATACCTTTCCACATTCCGGACATGGGATTCTGCAAGAAAGAAAAATATATGGACAAGAAAATTTCAAATCTTTACTGTGCTACATACTGTGATTAAATTGACTGTTAAGTTTATGCTACATTAACAGGATTTTTTTCAGGAATATTGTAACTTGAGATACGAATCAAAATATGGAATATAACTGCCACATTGTAATATCCTTTAAAATAATTTTGGTCCTTCGAGCCGTAATAAATGTAGATTGTAATAAACAGGATACATACTTAATAGATTTCTTCTGAACATGCGCAGCTGCAGTCTTCAAGTGTCGTTTATATACATATTGACTTGGAAATTGTCTGTCGCACTCAACGCAGTATGACAACTCGCGCTTGACCGTTTTATAAATTAATTCTGGATGGAAGTTTCGGTAATGCACCTCTAACGAATGGTATTTGCTAAACATTCGGTTGCAGACCTGACATATTGAAGGGAAGTGAGTTTTTCTGTAAATAATTTTTTTTGTCTATATAAAATAAATGTTAAGTATTTATTCAATTAATATGTCACTGGAATATAATAATAATGAAACTGAAAAAATAGACAAATCCTTGAGTATAACATAAGTTTGACCAAAATTATCTCCCTTAAACAACTTTTTTGTAATAGGTATAGCAAAAATTATAAGACGGAATACTCACACAATATGTTTTTCAAGAAGTCTTTTACAATGAAATACTTTTTCACAATAATCGCATATGAATTTTGTATGATACTTTGTATAATGCTCTCTAAAAAGTTGTGATGAACTAAAAAGATAAAAAGATGTTAAAAAATACCCATAATCCACATATTAAACTATATGGCAAGGAAATACATTGAGGTCAGAAATAAGGAACTCAATAAGATGTTGCCCAAGGTGTGTTCTTATCGCAACTAAGACTTTAGTACGAGACCCGGCTGAAGGATTAGTGCGCTCATTGGTTATTTGCTAAAAATCAAATTCATTGGGTATTAAATAACAAGTGAACGAAATGTTTTCCCAAAAATCAATTTAAAAAAATTTCATTATAAATACTAGCAGCCAAATTTTGATAGGCAACTTGGTAGATATACATTCTCCTTATTATAAATATACATACACGTACAACGGACCTAGTGAGCATCTAAGTGCGGAAAACGAGTCCACAAACCATACCAAATATACATAAAAATTTAGTTTTTAGTAAATAACCGATGAGCGCACTAATCCTGCAGCCGGATCTTAGATCACTAGTTGTGGACATAGCTTATGACTTTTTTTAAAGATGGGAAATCTTTTACGTATTTTTGGAGGAAGCTGTAACATGAAAAATGATGAGGTCCCAAAATTTATTTCCTATACCCAAACTAAAACCATGGCACGCCTTTACCAATAAATGTAAAATGATCATAAACACTTATAAGAGAATTTATAATTAAACATATTAATTTTTAAATGTCTCGAAATATAATATATGTGTATTTGTGAAATTTAATAATGATAATTAAAACATAAACTTGACATGTTTGTTGACACATTTAAAGGGGTTCTAGAAATTATGAATGTTTAATAGGAGTTTTTAAAGCTTATAATACCTAATAGAGTTAAAAATGCCAATTTTAGTAGGTTTTATAGTAATAAACAATGTTAAATTATTTTTAAAATCTTGTCAAATAGCCCATTGATAATTCTCATTAATATTTTTAGTTATCAGAATTTTTTTTCCTTTTATCTTTATAAAAATGAAATAATATGATTGTTAAATTTACATTTTATACTTACTGATTTTGTATCGCACACTTTTTACATGTATACAACTTGGTGTGATTCATTAAATGGCATTTTATTTCTGTGATGTTTTGTAAATATTGTGAACAAAACATACATTTGTATAAAAGATTGTGTGTCTGCCAGTGGCTGTGTAGTTCAGTAATAGATTCACACGTTTGAGAGCATTCAGAACAGTCATATGGTGGATTCGGCTGAAACACATGTTTATTAAATATAATATAATTTATACAGGACTTCATTCATAGATATAAACCGGAAACATTACATTATTTACAAAAATCAACATTTCAAGTGCTTTTAAGAATTGTAATTAGAGAGGGAACTGTCACATTATCTTGACAATATCAAATAGTTATACATCAACTTGAACATTATATGCCCAATTCACCTCTATATGAAAAAAATAAATTTTATTTAGACATGTAGTAAGTGCATAAAGGAAAGACGATACAATATAAGAAAATTAAAAAACTTTTTACCTTTAAGTGATCAATATCCAGATGTCGTTTCATATCTAATAATTTTTTAAATCTATTCTTACACTCACATTTTATTCTGTATTTTGTTAAACTTTTTGTAGAGCTCCTCTCTTTATCCAATATTTTCAAAATTTCATCGTTACTTACATTAATTTCATCATAATATTTCTGTGGACTTTTTAAATCTATATCAAATGGTGTAACAATCGCTCTCCTTTCAAACTTGCCACATTGTTTTTGTTTCTCTTTACTTTGAACATCTTTTCTGCTATCAATATTACTTTCATTCTTTACATCATTCACATCACAATTATTCATGTAATCATTGTCATAGTCATTATCATTAAGGGTGTCTGGAAAAACTTCTATTTCTTCTTTTATTGTATCAACAACTAGAGGTTCTGGTAAATTTAATGTCTCCTTTTCAGCTTCATCATGACTTATTATATAATCAAATTCTGGGTTGTATATTGTGCTTAATGTAGACAGTGAGATTGTTGTTGAAATCTGAAATATTATAAATTATGTATACACCAATTCTAAGTGGCTCATATCAGATGGTTAATAAAATATGTATAATGTATAAGACATTCATAAGAATTCCTTAGACTAAAAATAACTTTATATGATAGTAAATTTTACTTATTAGTATATAAATGAATACAGTATCCACCTGTGATAAACTGAAAATAGGTTAATATAATATTGGGTTTACTTAACAGATGAAATCTTACTTACAAATGTATTATGATCCAAACTAATGGAATTTTGTAATATATATTGGGCTTCACAAATTTTTTGCTGAAATAGACTTATTTTTCGCAACATTGATTTACATTCCCAACAAAGCTGGATACTTAAGTACTTAGGTTCCTGAAATCATATGAAACTGTAATTAAAATAAATTATAATGATGTAGATAGCCAGTGGGCTGGTCCAATGGTATCTAAGAGAGTTGTTTACTTGCTTTATAATATATATTATGAAAAAACTTATTATCTTTTTATTACATAAAGTTTATAGAAGTTTAACAATAATAAAAATATAGATATACATACCATATACTGTGTTTCCTTAGATAATAACATTATAAAAAGATCCTGTTTTTCAATAGAACTTGTAACTCGATCTAGGCTTAAACATCCATTGCAGACACCTTTACGAAAACTTATGTTCATCTTAACATCTGCCATTTTAAATTAGTCACATTATTTATTTAATTCACTAAACTTTAATCTATTGTTTATTTACAGTTATTGGCTGAAGCATTGTTTTGCTATTTCAAAATTTGCATCGAGACTTAAATATAAAATTATTAAAGAGATTATAATACATATCGTTTCCTGTTTTATTGCTTAATAGAGTTTTTTTTGATAATTTGTCAAAAAAACAAAAATACAAAACAATTCTCTTCATTAATACGCTTTCACGATTCTATAATATTTACTAGATGACATTGACAGAGGCTACAGTCAACTATCAAACATTTCTTATGTCATCATATATTTTACGTCATACGGACGACGCATACGTCGCCGTTTTGAGGAATGCCTTAAAAAACCAATGCAGAAGAGTGGGAACGTATTCCTTAATATATTATTAAAACATCGTGGAAAGCATGCCCAAGAAGCTGTCATTTAGCAAGCGAGGTCACAATCGTTATTAGATTTTTACATTATTTTGTTATTTAATTTAAAAAAAAATGTCTTTATTGCCGACCACTTATTATCTGATTGGCCGAGTTTATCGGTTTAAAAAATTCATATAAAAAATTACTAATTAGTTTAAGTATACGGACTACGTCTGACAATTAACTTAAATTAACTGAAATCGACTTTAGAAAATAAATTTTCTTAGGTGCTCGATTTTTGCAAAAGTATAATATCCGCTATACTTAATCTAAGCCTATTATGGATGAGGTGCCACAATAATAATAAAACGACGATTCATATAGAGATTCTTTAAATAGTTTTTGTAGATAACAAGGTACAATTATACATAAAAATAAGCTCTATCTATACTAAATATTCACAGATTTTTCTTATGTACAAGTTTTTTATGAGTATATAGAGATGCTGTTTGGCCAAACGTCGCTGAACAATAAGGGCACTTGTGGGGGCGTTCTCCAGTGTGTGTTGTGATGTGATTTTTTAACTCTGCTGTGGACTGAAAAAAATTCTATGGTCACCTTTAATCTATTTTTAAGCTAATTTAAGCTTTCTAAGAACAAGAGAAACATAGCATATAACATTTAAGAAAACTTATACACATTTAATAATTTTTAAAATATAACAAATTCCAATCAGCACTATGGCTTTTAATATTTTTATTTATTTCATTTTATTTAGTTTGTAATGAATATTCATAGAGAGATAAGACAATAAAAGCAAAAACATGTATAAATGAAGCTTCGAGAAAACATAATCTTTAGTTTTAAAACATTTAAACACAGCGAGGCTGACAAAATGAATAAATACATTCATACAGTACATATTATCTAAAATACCTACCGAGAAACCCCGACCACAATAATCACATATTTTATTCTTTGGTGGCCGAATTTTTTCATGAACACTCTTAACATGCCTTGTAAGACAACGGTGCGTTTTGAAAACCTGTAAAAGAATACACTCATTGTTTTACAAGTGTACAAGCAATTTTAGTAAAGTCGCGCCTACAAATGTTCGTGCGTTGCGGATAGACGGAAAAAAATTAGAACCAAAAGTTGTAACGACACTTTTTGCTATAGTTGTAAGCCGCGGTGTGCGCGTGTTTCTCTGTCTGACTCTCTCTCTCATAGAAAGCAAGCCAGTTATTTTGTTTTGATTTTGAATTAAGTACACAAATAAAGTCTATTTAAATTAAAATTGTTAATGATAGAGCAATAGTTAAGTCTTTGTTTTGCATCCGTGTATTGTTTGACTTCATTTACTGAAGTCATATAAATGGCGTTACGTTTATCCTTAGCATTTTAAGCTTTATCGATGTTTTGGTTTTAACATGGGTGTTAAGTGATAGTGAATATTATTTGGCGGTAAAAGTAACATTCAACTAAATGAGGTTAAAATATAGTTTATATTTGGCCAACTTTACTAAAAGCTACATTACCAAGAAAAAAAATGCATAGCATATATTAGGTAGCAAGGAAAATATCAGATTTTTAAAATTAACTACCGGTTTACTATACTAAATAAAGCCAAATTATATTAAATATAAACGTGTTACTCGTTATCCAATTTATTTGCTTAGCTGTATTAAAAATTTCTCAAATTTTGCCAATTTGAACTTGCGTAAACATAGCAAAAATAATAATGATGCACATTTAATCTGGTCTCATAGAAGTTCAGTTAAACCAATTATGAAAAAAATCATTACTTGAAATTTTTCGTAGTTAGATCCTGAGATGCGAGTTAGTTACTAGATTTAGGGTTGTGAAAAAAATAACAGAGTCAAAGATCACTAACACCAAACAAGCTAGTTGATTTTTTAAAAGAAATATGAAAAACGTTACTACATCGAGATTGTATGTTATATAACTCACCTTTGAGCAAACATCGCAAACATATTTTATTATTTTCAAATGCTTGAAGTTAATATGGTCTTCTAGATTTCGTTTCACCATGAATTTTTCATCGCAATCGTTACATTTATATCTAAAAATTATTATTTTATTATACATCTAGTAATTGGTAAAGTTATTATTGGGCAGGGCATGCAGCAAGAGCGGAGCCCGCAGCCAGTCTCAGCGCTTGACTTTAAGCTTTGTTTATTGTCTGCTATGTAATTTCTCTTGAATAAATGTTTATGACAAATGACTTTTTGTTACTTTCCTCATGCCTAGCAGTTAGAATTTTATTAGAATTATTATTATATTGTGTTTGCTATCTGTCAATTGTCATGTCAATCTGTGGTATTTAGTCTATGATAATTAAAAAAAAGAATACAAGATGGCTGTTAAAGATATGACAGTTGGTGTAATAACATCAGCTATGGGGGCCTCATAGCCTAGCGGACTTATTAAGTGGCAGCTAGGTGAGGGGTACCGGGTTCGATTCCCGGTTCGAGGGCAAGTTTTAATTTAATTTAAAATTTGTTCTCGGCCTTTGGGAGGGTTGTGCGGTACCGGGCGAGTGCCTAAACCGTACATGGAGGACACGGTCGAAGTTCTAAGGCAAAGCACGAATTATAAAAAATCTAATACTTGACGCTGGCTAATCTACAAACCGTGCCAGAGCCATAAAAAAAAAAACATCAGCTATGGTTGTTACTAACTCACCGCCATGCATCATCCTTGGCATGCCGCAAGTGGCGTTTTAAATGGGTAGAAAGGATTGCCTTCGACTTGAACGTCCTCTGACAGTCGTCACAGTAAAAAAACCCAGGTTTGTGAGAACGTTGATGAGCTAAAAGACTCGCTCGCTTATTGTACACCTTATCGCATTCATCGCATGGAAATGTTTCGTTTGATGTATTGTGTACCGAGCTGAAAAATTTATACAAGATGTCATGGGACCATGGTATATCCTAGCAAACATTTTATAAAACAGAATACTTGGCGATTAAAAAGAATAATTAAGGGTTTAGTGACAGTCATTGTTTTCCATTGTATGTAACACCTTTATTTGCGAACTGACAGTGAATGTACATTTGAAATATATCGCGTATTTTAATTTGTATTAGAAGCCCTAATTAGGAAAGTTGGTGTGTGCACACACATGTGCCTCTGATAAGCACGAGAATAAGGCAATATATTATAGAATATTTAACTTCAACTGGTTGTTTCATCCTTTACTTTAAATAAAATCAAATACATTTGTAATAGCTAAGTCAAAAATGATAGTGGACATATTCAATAGTTGTTTTTGAGAAATCAATTACCTGACATGCACGGCAAGTGACGTATTATTCGCGAATGTTTTATCACAGAGGTTACAGAATGCTTTACGACCGTGAGTTCGTCTATGTCGACGGTGTTCTGAATATTTTCTGAAAAAAAAAAAGTATTCAAAAAGACGCCAAAGTAATTTTGTAACATCCAATAGCGATTCCGATACCAAAGGACTATCCAACGACGACAAGCACCTAAAACTTGTTCTTCCTTGTATTGCTAATTAAAAAAAAAAAAAACTTTCCTTGGCCCTGCATTGATTTTTCCATTAGCGTTGATGACTTAAATGTCTACTTCTCATACTTACGTCGTAACAAAATTACATCTCTTACACTTATACGACTCCTTAATAATATCATGTACTTCGTTATAATGTTTTAACAATGGATATACAGCCATTGACCGTTTTCCACAAGGAATGCATTCATATCTGGAAAATAATTTCAATACAGAATATTGTTCAAAATTGAATGACAAAGGGCTACAGACAAAATCACTTTTCAACAGATTTCGCTATGTCACTGGGTCACAAATGTCGAAAAGTTATTTTGTCTAAAGCCCTGATAAATAGGCCCTTAACCCAAACCTTCAATGATAAAATTATTTATTTATTTAAATAAGATAATAGTAAATTTGAAATTTCGAATAATGTGACATATGCTGGGCACAATCCAGATTATAAAACTTATAGAGTTAAAGGGAAAATTACCTTTTCAAGTGTCTCCTGCTATGGCCATCATATGATAATTGTGTTGGAAATATGCAACTACATAATGAGCATTTAATTCCATTTTTGTGCTAAGAAAACATCTTTTATCAATAACAGTACAAACTATGCAATATGAATAGATAATCCAATAATATAATAGCTCTTAATCATTAAAGATCATTTCAATCAAGTTTTTGAATTATTTTGCAAGGCTATATAAAAAACTATAAATGTACAAGTAACATAAAAAATATTTTTATTTAATATGACTTACTGGAAAGTGACTCTTATTTAGATGTTGTTGAAGACCGTGTTCATAGTGAAATGAAACTATGCAGCCCTCACACTTATATGGCAATCTCAAATATTTTTTACTTAGCAGTTCTTCTTTTCTCTCTTTCATAACTTCATCTACTGAAATTGTTATAATTTTAATTTTGCCTTTATAATTAGCCTCTAGTTGTGTACGGGGCTTTTTAGTAACTGGTAATACTGTTTTATGACATTTACTTGTGTCTTGCAACTTTTTATCATGTAAAGGTTCTGAAGGTTCTATTTGTAAATCTTCATAGTTCTCTTCACTGTGACTTGATTCATTCTGGTCTAACAGTTCATTTTTTATTTTGGGAATATCTTCAGCTTTAATATTGACTTCTGTCAATTCATTGTGTTGATTAACTGGAAGTTGTGTATCTAGTGTTACTACATTAGATTTTTCTAGATTACACCAATTTGTATTTGATGTGTTCTGAAACCATGCCATTAAACTTTAAACCATTTTTTTCAAATTAATTTAATGCTAATTAATAATTAGTTTAATTGTTAGCTATAGTGTGGTATAGTTCCATGATATGAAGTTTAAATAATGTGTTCAAATACTCACTCATAATTAATTATAAAAAATCAATCTTACACATAAGCCTTTTCAATTAGTAATTTTTGTGCAGCTTTTTAATTTTAAATTAATAATAAAAGCATGAAAATTTACTGAGTTTGTATCTTAGTTAAACGGAAGTGTAAACTTCAAAGAATAAATACCTGCATAATTTCTAGTCCAAAGCTTGCTTCCAGCTGTTTTGTGAATTTGTAAATCCTTTTTAAAATTGAATGGCAAACACCACATACTTTAGATATCTTTGTTTTTAACTGAAAAGTAAAAAATACACTCAAAGTGAAATTACATACTTTCCTTTCTTACGGCTCAGTTTCCAAGCAAATACAACACGTAACATAACTAAAATACACAAACCTTAACGTCCACTAAACGTTCAATGAGGTAAGCAAAGTTACAAACAGACAAATTTGTTAGATTGTTTTGTATTCGATTGCAACAAACACATCTTTCGTAAGCATTTTCTTCGATGATTTCATGATTGGTAGTTAAATAAATCTCCATAATTTTATTTTTATTGAATATCTATTTATAGTGGTTATGGGAATATTTATGGGAAGAGCTTATATAATGAAATAATACTAATAATGATTAAAAAATGTAAATCCGTATCCAATTTTATATGTGATATTATATTATTAAACCTTTTATGTGCGAAACCAAAAGTCAAAACAAGGCTACACACTACACAGGCACAGACCAAGTTGCAAGTATAAAATAGACACACAAAGTATTAACGTATGGTTAAAGGTCGATTTACATCAAACGAGCGAATGCTCATTCTATCCCCACTACATCAAATTCTTCTAGTGTAAACAGGCGTAGAGCATTCTTTCGTTGTTCTTAGTGCGTTCGCAAAGATTCTATAGAATATTCTAAGAATGCTCGTTCGCTTGATGTAAACGGCGCAAGAGCGCGCGAACAGTTGCTTAGAGCGTTCTAGCGTGTTCGGACGTGCTCGCGCCACTGAGCGGTCTTTTCAAAGCGTTCTTGTGTTCTAGCTCTAGCTCTATGTTCGTTTGATGTAAATCGATACCTCTATAGTCGAATTTTTAATTAGACGATATCAACTGACGTTTACGGTGTTGTCAGTTTTTAATGAAATAAAAATAGTGTTGTGTTTGTCACATGATTTGTGAATGATTGAAAAAACTCCTGAATTAATAAAATTGCCTCGATTGCCTAGTGAATAGTTAACGTTGCGTACTGCCGATATCGGATACGGGTTCGAATTTTAGTCGTGCTTTGAACATACCAACGAGTTTAGTACTAAATACCAATTGTTTTTAACATTAAGGAAATCATTGCGAGGAAACTTGTAAGACTGTCCTATTCTCAATATATCATGTAGTTTATACTATAGATGTTTAATAATATAACAATTATAGGTTGGTAATGAAAATAATAAACATCGCTTATTACATAATTTGTTTTTATTCATCATCAGATAAAAAATCATCACTATCGCTTTCGGTGACATTAATAATAAATCTGTCTGAAACATTGTCGATCATGTCGTCGAGACCATACATTTTATCTTCTTCTTTCATTATGTGAGACACGCAGCTACGCCATTTATCAGGTGTGATTAGTTTAAGTCCTTCTTCAAAAAGTTTTTTTACTTCTGTCATTTTGAAGGTTTTATTATTTTTTGCAACATATCCTTTAGCCTGCGCCCATACCAACTCAATGGGATTAAGCTCACAGTGGTATGGGGGCAGACGTAAAACAATTATCTCATGCTGCGCTGCTATCTCGTCCACAACATACTTTTCGAAATGATCTTGTTTGTGCTGCCGTACAATGTCTATAAGAGTAGCTTTAACCATTGTTGCTTCGAATGAAATATTTTTGCTCGTTAGCCACTCTTGTATTTTAGGTTTAGTCCAAGACATTTTAGGCAGCGATTCTAGTTTCCTGGAGTGGTAGGGGGCATTATCTAGCACTACAACGGAATTTGGTTTTAGTTTTGGCAAGACTCCACTAAACCACTTCTCAAAGGAATCGGCATTCATTTCTTGATGATAGTCTTCTTTACTTTTTTTGGCTTCAAATATTAGTAAGCTGTCTTCTACGAATCCTTCTTCCCCACCTATGTGGCCGATAATTAATCGTTTGCCCTTTCCTGAAGGCTGTTTTAAGCCAGTAGTCAGGCCATCTAGGAAGGCCTGGCGAGTCGATAACACTGTCTGGTCAATCCATGCCTTCTTCGGTGCATGACCTACAAGATAATGAAAAATAACAATTAGTTAATGAAAGTACAATTTAATGTAAAGAAAACAGAAAATTGTAATTACCTTCGTTGATCCAGGTTTCATCTTGGTAATAAATATACCTTCCTTCCCTTCGATACTCTTTAATTTTGCGAAGGTATCGCTGGCGCCATAACATAATGTCCTGTCTGTCAATTAACATGCTTTTTCTTGATTTTGTGACATATTTGAAATTTAAATGTTTCATAACATTTCTTAATGTACTCCAAGAAAAATTGGGTAAGTCTGGGTCTTCATTGACAACCTTAAGAATCTGTGAAGTAATAAAAAAACGTTTTTGAGTAAGGAAGTCTACGCAATCTAATACTTTGGTTTTACAAAGATCATCATTGTGGACACAGAATATAATGCAGTCGATGGAATAAAGTTTGTTACCTTTATAATGGTGGGTGACTCATTTGCATAAAAAAATTATGAACTTTTCGCCTTATAGCGGCCAAAGTAAAATCGTCTAATTTATCTTTGAAATTGTGTTTCGGTCCACGTTTCTCGGGAGACTTAAATTGTTCTTTTCTTTGTATTCTTTTAATACACTGTAAACTGAGGTCACGCTAATTCCCAAAATGTCAGCTGTTTTCGAAACACATTCTTTTTTTTCGGGAGCCTCAATAGGTAATAGTAAAGCAGCTTTCTCCTCAAATACGTGTTTGTAGACGTTTTGTATCATAACTTTTTCGGTAACGCTTAAAGCAATCCGTGGTCTCTTCTTTCTTGGAGACAAGCTTTGGCTTGACGTGCTTGGTTGAGGATCCATATCGTTTTTACGAAACAATATAGAAATAAAAAAACACAACAATAACCACAAACACAACGTAATGAAAAACTTAACAAAAACTATAACTAAACAGCGTGAGCGCAGAAAAAACATTCGTGCTATCAGACCAGAGGTTAGAAGCCGAATGACAAACAAAATGGCGACCGACGCGCGCGGCGTCGATCGGTGTTGGCACTAGTCGCCTCGCCGCGCTCTGTATTACAGCCGTCAAAAAACTGATTGTAGTTACATACTACTAGTACCTAACTTATATCAGAAATCTTTTATACAATTTTAAAATAGTAATAATATTATTTTATAGTTTGAAATGATTAACTATTCACACTCACTCATTGTTCATTCATCTGATTGAACAAGAACTGAATGTATCACTATTACTTTAAATGTGGCAACATTATTTTACTAAGTGACATTAGCTACTGTCAGATAGCTTCGTCTAATTAAAAATTCGACTATAGCTTTCGTTTACACTAAAAGATTACGAAAGAATGCTCTTGTTCTAGCTCTAGCTCTATGTTCGTTTGATGTAAATCGACCTTAACACAACGATTCGGTTTTGATAGATACTTTCCTCATCAGTAGTCAGTAACTCAGTACTACCTATCAAACAATGTAGTAGACTTTTTAAAGTAATTAGGGTTTGCAATTTTTTAGAAATAAAGGAAATTTTGGTCACAAGTTGTCAGACTAATTATTTATATTTGAAGGGAACCAAAAACCTACTGTAGGAAATTACTCACATATTTATTATAAAATAGTAAATAATGGATTCCAGAATGTTTAAAAGTAGTAGTTTAACCTAGATTGATTTGTTTTTATGTTAAAAATAATAATAACAATACTTAATTCGCCAATATTTAGGGAAAATTCACGTCAGAAAGTGGCAGCACTAGCTATCGATGCATGTCTGTGGAAATGCTTATTTTTTACAACAATAATTCATCTGTTATCTGTAAACAAAGTTCTAAAAATCAAACAACGATCCCTCCCGCCGCCTGAGTGATGTGTTAAAAAATAGATCCTATTACGTGCCTCTATATGTATAATTTCATCAAAAATACAGTGGGGTAATTATAATAAACCGAATAAGAATACGCAAGACTTGGCCTAAAGGTTTAGATACCAGGCCATAAACCCAAAAAAAAAACATCAAAATGTAAATTTTAAGATGACGTAGATTGTTCATAAATCGGAATTTTATTATTCAGTACATCAGTAATCACAATCAGTTCTTCAGCTCGAGTCCAGCCTACATATGGTTCAAGAATTGTATTCAACAAATCGTCGTTACCGTAAGTTATTGTTAATTGTTACCAAGAAAGACGATTTGACGACCGTTGTAGGAAAACCTATACTGGTTATGTACAGTGCTTGAATGTGCCATGATGTTAGATACTTAAAAGTCGTATGGCGTACCACTCTCTTTTGCTGTAGTTAATACTGATTGGAGTTAAGAAAAATGTGATTAAATCTATTAACATAAAACTTATTCCATATACATATTAAATTAATTTTCAGCAAAAAAATTTTAAGCAGCTGCATAATGTACAAGTTTGCGAAGTTCAGTACAGCTTGATCTCTATTATTGTGATGTAATTCTTATGGTATCTTTTGGGTCAATATATTATAAAAATTTAGAATGGATTTAGAAAAAATCAAGCCACAATTTTAAATATTGTCTTGAAATCTATTTTTGACTACTGTCAATATTCCATCTAGCTTTTTTATATAGGTACTCGTGTTTTCCTTGTATAATATTGTTTTTTTTTTAAATTCAGTGTTTGGTTTGTAATATAAGCCATCTCCTTGCCTTAAATGTATTTTATCAGACTGGTTTTATTAGTCAATACTGTATGTGTAATTGTGTCATTTGATGTGACAAATTCATTTATATAGAGGTAATATTCAAAGCGTGATTTGTCTTTTGGATATGGAGCTGAGAAAACGCTCATATTATGGTTCAGAAACTCTCGATGAGTATTAAGCATCTTCCAAATGTATCTTTAATGCTTTTCCATTTCGTCGTCAGTTTTTGCCTGTAAATATAAATATATCATGTAAAACAATTTCAATTACATTATTTTTTTTTGTTTTCAGGTATTTGGCTGCAGGAAAAGTTTCGAGGACCTTAGCTTGGACTTCATGCTTAGAAGGAGTACAGTAAATAGTATTGTACGAGAAACATGCCAATTAATTTGGAGCTCAAACTGCACTCCAGTGAAATTCCAATGCCAACGCAAAGTATGTGGCAAAGGCTGAAGACTTCTGTGCGAACTCACAGTTTCCTCATTGTATTGGCGCCAAGCTCATGCAATAATTACCTTTGATTTGTTTTTGTTCTGTATTCCAATCAAACCATTCGGGAAATATTTCTCGACCAACTTCACTCCAGTCATTGCCCTTTATTATCTTATAACGGTACGACTCGTGCCGAGAATCCCAAATGGATGGCCACTTCTTCACTTCATAACTGAACTTTTCTGTGTCGAACATCATGGGCATCTGCAAAAACGCGCGTTTCATACGCTTAATATATTCCGAACGCTTCAATTAATCCGTTGGCATAGAACTTCATTCAACGTCGATCATAATATTCGGTGGTGGAGGTCAAGAAAAATATTTAACCACAGATTAAATAACTAAAGAGTGCTTTAGAGAAATCGTTTACACTAAAAACCGGAAATTACGCACAGAAATTCACTGATTACACAAACACAAATTACTTTAATTACAGGCACTTCAAACAGTACTTTATCACTTGTCTTCACTATATTCGCACTTTGTCACTTCGGTGTTTATCTCTTGATATCGCATTCAAAACTGAACTAATCGGTCGCGTTTCGGCTCGCTTATACTGGATGGGTCAAATACTGGGTCTTCGAAAGAATAGGGTCCGATCACTGTGTCAACACAGATGCCACACCATACAGTAACTTTTAGTGGGTGTAAAGGTGTTTCTTGAATAATGCGCGGATTATCAGTGCCCCAGAACCGAGTATTCTGCTTATTGACATGCCCTGAGAGATGGAAATGCGCTTCGTCACTCATAACCAATTTTGAAGAAAAATCATCCTCTTCAAGGTTGAGGTTTATGACGCGCTGGCTGTATTCTAGACGAGCTCGGTGGTCAGTAGGCAGCAGCTGATGAGTCATTTGAGTTTTATACGGGAACATCTTTAAGTCTTTCAGCAATATACGCTGCAGGGTCCATCTGGAAATGCCCAATTGCGAGGCACGTCGCACAGTGGAACGAAACGGGCCGGTAGTGGACTTAGCATTTGAAAAAATTAAGTTTTTTTTTTTTTAATTTTTTATCATTGTGTTGGATTTTTCTATTGATTATAAGAAACTATTACTATGACGAATTTTCAGATAACTTAATATTTTCGGAGTTATTCATTTTCAAAGTTAATTTTGTATGGAACAAAACAAAAAACAGTGAAAATCTCGTAATTCTCAAATTTTCTCATGGAATTGACTTTACATGAGCATAACAAGTATGTTTGTCCTATTTTTACGCTTACTCTCGAGTCTCGATTTTCCCCGATTTGGTCGCAATTTCAACATTTGTTCTCGATTCCTCACCACCCTAAGTGGTATCCCCCTTAGGCCTTAAAGCCTAACAAAATAAGTAAAACAAATTAAAAAAATACAAACTAGCTGTTTTAATTTAATCAGTGTCCAGGATATCAACATTAGCTATTTCAAAATTTTCCTGATCGTCATCATCAAAGGTCTCTGTCTCTGCCCGTTCAATGATCAAACTTTGTGCTTCTTTTGACAAGGTTTTATGTTTTCTGCCAAATTTGTGTCGTTTCGTTGAAATGAGTGGATCAGAGCTGGTCAATAAATTGTTCAAAATATCTTCATTGGTAGCTTTTCTGCTGCATTTTCTAGAATGGTGTTGTCGGTACCTACGAAAGTGTTTATTTCTAGCTTCAGCAGCTTCTTCAGATAGCTGTCCAATTGGTAGTAGACTAAAACTTTCAATTATAGCTGCGCCATGCATTAGAACTTAATGAACACTTGAAGGCATATAATACCAACTAATTGGGGTCCCAATTAGAATGCAATTTTTAAATTTTAAATAAAACACAGATATTAAAAAAAAATCGTGAAACTTTATTATATAGTAAAGTAGACAGAATGAGGTTATGTATGAAACAAGCCGCCACGGCTTTGCTGGCACACACGCGATCTTTTAATAAAATTTTCAATGACCTTTTTGCATAAATGCTGCGGTATTTCATTAATGCAGCGTTCAATTTCCTCTTTTAAGACTTGAGTCGTCGTCGGCTTATTCGCGTAAAGAAAAAAATCTAAAGGTGTTTAATCGCCCGATCTAGGCGGCCAATTCTGGTCTCCAAAACGCGAAATAACACGACCGGGAAATGACTGATGCAGCAATTGAATTGTTCTCCACATTCATTTCTTCAATTCTAGGCAAGAAAAAACTGGTTTTCATTTTACGACACCGAACACCATTGACTGTTTGCGCTTGACGATGCAAATCTTTCGTCAAAATTCGCTGCATAGTGGATTTGGAGACACCAATTTGCTAAGCTCGGTGACGAATTGAGGTGGATGGAGTTTGAGCGACATCATCACGTACAGCTGCGACATTTTCGGTCGATCGACCTGGTTGAAGGCGCGTTGTTGTCTTTACATCACTAACAGATCCAGTTTCGGCAAATTTATCCATTATTCTCTTTACAGTTGACTCTTTTAGAGCATTATTGTGACCCCAAATTGATCGCAATTTGCGAACTGTAGCCGCAAAACTTTCACCATTTTGGTAAAACAATTTCACAATGAGAATGCGTTGTTCATTCGTGTAGCGCTCCATTTTTACTAACCTCGTACCTTCTTCTGGCAAACAATAACAAACGTTGAAATATTAAACAATGACACTTCGAATGGCGCCAAATTTAAAAATTGCGTTCTAGTTGGGACACCCTATATATACAGTTGCATGGTGGCTTGAGCATATTCATGAAATTTGACTTCATTAATGTGGTAGCCCGATGAAATTGCCTCTAAAATGATTGCAAACCGCCTTATTAAGTTCTCGCTAACACCTGTTAAGAGCTAGTTCAGACATGGCGGAATCCGTGCGGATGCAAATCGCGCGGTTCTAAACGCAAGTGTTCAGACAGACGCGGATGTAAATGCGGAGTGCCGTAATCCGCATAGAGTGACAGCGTTCTAGTCCAATCATGGAAGTCGAAGAAGCAATATGTGTGTACTTGTTGCTCCGTAAAAAAGAAAGAAAGAAGAAACGGCAGTATTGGGTGCATCCAATATTACGTGATCGGCTCACCCATGGTCAGTTTCTGACTTTATATCCAAAATTAAGAAGTTTTGAACCAAAATTCTTTAATTATTTGAGAATGTCGATAAATTCATTTGATGAATTATTAGAAATGATCAGTGAACAAATTGCATCTAATGATACCCATATGAGGTCAAGCGTGGCCCCAGAAGAAAAACTCGTGATTACATTAAGGTAAGATATTTATTTTATACATCAGAATATATGTTTTGTACTATAGAAGACTGTGAGTCGTCAGTGCTATTGCATGATAAAGGCGATGGAGACTCTCCTGGTACGATTGTAGAATATCCTGTAAAATATCCTTGTGGGTTTGAATATTGTTGGTTTTGCCAAAATACTTCATTAGGCGTGTTCTGCTGGCTCGTGATATGAATAGGCGCTGGTAATTTCTGCCCTTTCTGTATTACCTGGAGTAATTCAATTTTAGTAGCCAAACGCTTATTTTCTGGAACTTTTTTAACTCTTTATACAATGACATACAAAAAAGCTTATCATCATCATCTTGCTTTGACATACTTTCTTGTAATTGTCTCTGTATTTTATCCCTTGATTCAATGCTATTTTCTAATATGTCAGCCAATCGCTCTTCTGAAGTAATTTTAGTCTTCTTCCTTTTATTGGGTACTGGTTGTATTTCACGTGCATTAACAAAATTATCTTGGTTTTGGTCAATGTTTTGAATTCCTTCATTTTTGGCTTCATGTATGTTTGATGTCGTTTCTTTGTTTTCTACTGTCTTCTGAAGAAAGAAAGCCGGTCAAAATACATGTATTTTGAACCTTTACATGCACCAGAACCAGAAGGAATTGATTTGCCTTTCTTGAATTCCTTATTATAAGCATCCCGTATATTCTTCCACTTTTTTGTAAAGTTACACCTGGAACAGAAATCAGTATTTTTAACAAAATTGTAGACTTATAAATACAGGAGCGGTCAAATAATTGAAGACACTCAAAAATTTGAAAAATTTAAAATAAAATAATTGACACTCATTATTTTAAACTAGCTGGTGCCCGCGACTTATAATTAATAAATGAAAAGTTTGCAACTTTGTTAACAAAACGATACAGATCAAGATTATATTGTTTCAGATATCTGGGTACTGGTTGTTCCTTTGGAGAACTGCATTACAACTTTCGTCTTGGCAAATCTACAATTACAGGAATTGTCCGTGAAGTATGTGAAGCTCTGTGGGAAAAAGTCGCAAAAAATGTCATGCCTGAACCCAGCGAAGATATATGGAAGAAAATAGCTACAGATTTTGAAAAATATGCAAATTTCCCCAATTGCATTGGCGCCATAGATGGCAAGCATATAAGGATTACAAAACCCAATGATTCTGGATCTTTGTATTATAATTACAAAACTTTTTTTTCCATAGTGCTGTTGGCACTTTGTGATAGTAACTATTGTTTTTCTTTCATAGATATTGGATCATATGGAAAAAGTAGTGATTCTGCAATTTTTAAAAATTCGGTATTTTATAAAAGATTAATAGAAAAGTCATTACACATACCAAAACCTAAACCAATATCTAACACAGATCCTACGCCATTGCCATACGTCATAGTTGGCGATGAAGCGTTTGGTTTATCCGAAACTGTAATGCGACCCTATGCAGGTAGAGGGCTATCATACGAAAAAAATATATTTAATTACAGGTTATCAAGAGCTCGACGTTATATTGAATGCACTTTTGGAATTCTGGCAAACAAGTGGCGCATTTTTCATAGGCCTATAAACGTTAATATAGACTTTGCCGAAGACATAATAAAGGCCTGTTGTGTGCTACACAATTTTGTTAGAACTAGAGATGGTATACAGTTTGAAGATACTTTATATACTGGGCCAATGAGTAATCTTAATACATTACATGCAGGAAGGGGTACACCGTCATCATTAAATATTAGAGACAAATATGCTAATTACTTTGTAAATGAGGGTCGTGTAGAATGGCAAGACACAAAAATATAAAAACTTGAGAGGTGTCAAGGGACACCCGGATAGAACGAAGTTGACCTCACTGGAGGCGAGTACTAGAGGCGAGTAGCGAGGCGTGGTGTTTGCGTGCGTGAGAATCGTGAGATTTTTTCCGTCTAGCCCCCTTTCACAACGCGCGATAAGGAACTTCGTTCCAAAATTAAAATTTGTTACAGTTCGCGCCAAATAACTAAACTCAAGATGGCGTCGCGTCGGTTGCACATAGTCACTAGCTACTCCGTTACTATGCTAACGTGATATTTTTCCCGCGCCCGATACTTACCTCCAATCACAATAACAACATTTTTATATAGTTTAGTTATTTGGGGTGGACTGTCAATTACAAAATATGTAAACTACCCTGATAAATGTAAAATTAAATACATACTGACCAAAAAGAACCTTTTTTTCCAAAGAATCCTCATTTTCTCCAAAAATATCCACCAGCTCCTGCCAAGCTCCGTTTCTAATAATTTTATTGGAATATTCTGCACATTGGATGTCCCACAAAGCAGGTCTCTTTTCCACCTCATCGATGAATAGCTCGGTGTCGAAGCGATCCATTGTCACCGTCCGATACGCGCGGCTTCCGCAGAGCAACTGAACGCGCTCTAGGTACGTCAAGTAAATAGATCCGAGCGGCAACCGCGCGAATTCATTTTCTAGCGGTTGAGTGGCGGTAGCCGCGCGGTTTGTCAATCCGCGCGGACAGGTATGAACGAATTTATAGGCGCTAATGTAAATAAGATCCGCGCGGTCTAACCGCGCGATTTGCATCCGCACGGATTCCGCCATGTCTGAACTAGCTCTAACTCAGCAGTAATGTTTGGATTTGCAAAAAATCTTCTAGCGGTACATATTTCCATCATTGGTGGGGCCATGACCTTGTTTGACAACATCAATCAGAAGGCCCATTCTATTTTAAAAAGCATCCTGTATGTTTTTCTTTTTACTTTCCAGGATACACTTGGTGTCACCCTTCACAGCCCATGTCTTTATCGTTAATCTGTAAGCTTTATGTAAAATGCATTCCATCATTCGTATCCATATGTGCAAAGATGACAATCCCTATCTACGAAGATCTAAATCAGTCTGTTTTGACGCAATTAAGGATAAATTATTCATCTCGCTTGGAGTGGCTTTACAAATGTCGCATCTCTGAGATGACGTGTCACATAAAATTGATGTTGCTTTTCCGTCTATCATAGTCAATATCAAAAAGTGTGAAATATTTATTTCCCCGACTTCTGTATTCTTCAGCAATTTCTTGCTCAATGGCACTTTTTTCCTGCAATATGGTTATTTTGTTTTCTTTTACAAATTCGAAAAAGATTGGTCGACACCAATATGATGAATTCGGGGAATCATTTTGCCAGATAACTTGTTCGCCGCAAACCAATCTGATTGGTACTAAGCTTCCCATGAATATGCTTGAATCATCAAATTAACTTTCTGAAGTGTTGTCGTCTGTTTGGATTGTTTGCTTGTAATTGGCTTGATTAGAAGCACCATCAAATACCCACTTACTGATAAGTGTTAGTTCCTTATACTTACTGTCGATGATGAGTGGCAGCATTATTCTTCTTGTCGTTATATCCAGTAGACCTTGTAACTTTATTTTGGCTGAGGTTTCTGTCACTTTGATAGATAGCGTCTTGATGGATAGCATTCCATTTTCGCATGTTGCACTTGATAATACGATGGAAATATATTGTTGTCTTTTTCGTTAACACTTTTTCTTAATGTACGAGGGTGGATTGATAAGTTTCCGGCCTGACTAAGAAATACAAGGTTATTAAAAAAAAAAAATTATTTCTCAACATAATCTCCTCCAAGGCTGATACATTTTTCATAGCGGTGTTCCAGTCTATTAATGCCATCTCTATAGACTGATTCGTCAAGCTCCTCAAAATAACCATTTACAGCTTCGATTACTTCTTCATTGTCCGCAAATCTCTTACCGCCAAGCCATTTTTTGAGGTTAGGGAACATAAAATAGTCACTCTGGGCTAGGTTTGGAGAGTAAGGAGGGTGCGGCATCAATTCAAACTTTAGATCGTTGATTTTAGCCGTCGCAACGATTGACGTGTGTGCTGGTGCGTTATCGTGATGAAACAAGATTTTTTTTATCGCCAGATTCGTCGTTTACTTTTCACCTCGTGGCTCAAACGTTGCAATAAGTCTGTGTAGTATTGACCAGTGATAGTTTTACCCTTTTGAAGGTTATCAATGTATATAATACCTCTTGTATCCCAAAAAACAGTAGCCACAGAGTGACAGTAGTTGCGTTCTGGTCTCGACAACGACTTGCTGAAGTAGGCTATTACTTGCTTGCTAACCTAACCTAACCTTTTACTTGTGATAGTACACCTCCAATGCCAATTCCACTGGCATCTGTATCTACTACATATTCGCCATCTTGATCCGGGTAGCCTAATATCGGAGTCTCACACAGTCGGTTCTTAAGCTCATTAAACGCATCTTCGCACTCTTTATCCCATGTGAATTGCCTCTTTTTTTTTCGGTTACTCTGTGAAGTGGTTTTGCAATATCCGCAAAAATTTTCACGAATCTTCGGTAGTAAGAACATAAGCCTAAGAAAGAGCGGACTTCAGTTTTATCTTTAGGTAGTGGCCAATCCTTCACTGCAACTATCTTCTCAGGGTCTGTTCGAACTCCGTCCTCCTATATAATGTGACCCAAGTAGATCACTTCTCTTTTGAAAAATAAACATTTACTTGGACTAAGTTTCAGGTTGGCTTTGTGCAGTCTGGTGAGCACCCTACTCTCACAGACAGTCCACCAGGTCCATAAATATCCTTTTTTTTTTCCCGTCTTGCATTGCATTTTTATCTTTTTTGTAGTAAAATTTTAAAATGTATCGAATTTCTTCATTAAATTCACTCATCTTGACGGTATGAAAAATAAATAAAAATCACAATCAAATTTTGTGGATTGTTCTCATAGACCACGCTCTTGAGATAACCCCACAAGAAAAAATCAGGTGGGGTTAAATCAGGGCTCCGAGGCGGCCACTCAATATCACCTCTTCGTGAAATCACCTTTTCGGGGAACAACTCGTGCAATGCTGCTAAAGAGTTGTTAGTGGTGTGCGATGTGGCCCTGTCTTGCTGGAACCATGTCAGCCGGTTGTAATGCTCACATTGTTGCAGTTGAGGACCAAAGAAATTGCGTATCATGTCGACATAGCGTGCAGAAGTTACAGTCACCGCTTGCTTGTCCTCTGTGATTTTCAAAAAAATAAGGTCCAATAATGCAGTTTGCCGACATAGCGATCCACGCAGTTACTTTGGGCGTTGATGTAATGTCTCTGGGTTAGTTTTTCCCAAAATCGGCAAAATTTGGCGATTGACGTATCCGTCCAAATGAAAATGTGCCTCGTCGCTAAAGAAGATGTTGTTGAAATTGTTAAATCTCTCTAACATTACATTCACATAATTTAGTCTTGTAACGTAATCGTTTTCATGAAGAGCTTGCACAATCTGAATTTTGTAGGCCTTAAGATGTAAAGCAGATCGCATTATGCGGTGAATCGTCGCTCTAGACAATGCCAATTGAGACTCACGCTTTCTGACGCTGAGTCGAGGCTGTCGGCTTACAGAATCTGTAACTAACCGAATGTTTCCCGGGATTCTTGCTGTCCTTGGACGGCCATGATGGATATCACCAATAGTGTTTCCAGTCGTGTTAAATGTCCGGATTAAAGATAAGATTGTTGCATTGCTTTTGCTTTGGAGTTTCGGCAATGTTACGCAATCGATAATGTAATCGAAATAACCGTCGAACACGAATTAGCGATCGATTGTTCTCAAAATACGCGCGCACGCAAAACGAACGTTGCTCTCCCGTGTATGGCATGATGGCAACTAAAAATTTAAATAAAAAATTTCACCCCTCCCCCACGCTTCGTTTTCCTCTCGCTCACATTTGAAATGTTGGACCGTTTTGAGACACCCTGTATAATGCGAAAAGACTTTTTCCCCAACCTAATATATAATGTAAAAACCTTACCGTATCTATCGGCTTTTCATTTTTATTAAAAAAATTTAGCATGTGAAATACCCAAGACTTGATTTTTGGATTGTAAACATTTTCCGCTGCAGCACCAGCTTCGAATCTGTTTTGTTTTAATAATTTTCTGTAGTTAGATTTTAATGGTCGCGCCTGGTTTAATTTTCTTATACATTTCAAGGAGCTGCTCATACGCATTCGCCTTTTTCACTTTATTAATACTGTTTCCATTTGAGTTGTCCCATACCTCAAGTAGTGTTTTTAATACAAGAGTGAATTCTTTCAAATGTTTTTAATCGTTTGTTTGACATGCGGCGCGGCCGCCTCAATATGTGCGTCCTCCTCTTTCGCTTGCAAAATGAATACTGATAACTGAACTGACGCGATAAATATCGACCAGTCACAGTGTTGCACAGTGACCAGTACAATTCAACTAGGTAATTGGTTTGGTAATAAAGAAAATAAAACAAAAACTTGTTTAATTTTAATTTTTTATTTTCTGATTATTTTTTTAACTGTAAATTTTTTAATTCTAATTTATATTTTTGTTGAAGAAATTCTATTTCTAACTGATTTTTTAATTTCATATGTTCCACTTCTATCTCATTTTTTTTTGTGGTTGTCCAACTCTAGCCACAGCTATTTTTTTAATGTCTTCAAGTGAAGTTTAATTTTTTCTGCTGATTGTGTAGCTGTGTTCACTTTCAGTGGTCACCTCAACACCAGTTTCCGTCAACCCAGCTTCTTCAGTCCAGTCCTGGATTGTTCCCGACTGATTTATATATTCAAATGTGGCATCTATAATGGACACTCTTGCCCTCTTTGGTCTCCAGCTTTCATCGTCATTGTCATAACCAGTAGCAGCTAGAAAAGTAAACAGTTTAATAAGTTAAAATGTAGGTATGTCTTTTATTGGTTTGAATAAGATAACATGCAGGTCAATATAACACAAATGTTTGTGCCCAATCTTTCATTTGCGGATGATTACGGATGCTGCATTTAGGAGATTATGGTTTGTGCTGCGAAATTTAGTTGGTCTGACGGACACTGCCACTAGGGTGCTATATTCATCTAGTAAGGCGGCCTTACTAAGGCCAATTCTGGAAACCAGCTGCGTCATATGGTCCCCTTATGAAAGGTATTATGGGGATATGATTGAAAGAGTGTTGTAGTTCCTGAGAAAAAACTGTGTAGATGTGTGAACAAAAAACCTATCACGGAATGACAACACAATTCACTTACTATTTATTATTATAAGAGAGGGACACTTGATTTGTACGAAGAAACTTCATGAAATTAACAAACCCTAAATGTTATATAATTCTAAGATGTCGTTATGCCATCGCGTTTTTGCACATGCCTAACGCCATCTATTGCTCTAACAAAAAATTACTAATTAATTAGACAATATGTGTTGACTAGTGAGTGATAAAAGCATTAAAAAAAATTGGGTTACAATGTGACATGTGCCCTTTTAGTATTTAGACATTCAAATGTTATAAATACATTTACTTTTACTATGTCGGTTGTTGTTAAATAGAATTTGTATATAAACTCATAAATAGTGGGAAACTTAATTTGAATGTGTTATGTTCGAAACGCAGTATTAAATGCATATTTTTAAATCTTTTAAAACATTCAACATTTAAGACATTAATTATAAATCTGTCTGAAACATTGTCGATCATGTGATCGAGACCATACATTTTGACTTCTTTAAGTAAATGAGACCCGCCGCTACTCCATTTTTCAGGTGTGATATGTTGAAGTCCTTAAAAAAGTTTTTTTACTTTTGTCATTTTGAAGGTTTTGTTATTTCTTGCAACATATCCTTTAGCATGCGCCCATACCAACTCAATGGGATTTAGCTCGCAATGGTATGGGGGCAGACGTAAAACAATTATCCCATGTTGCGCTGCCATCTCGTCATAAACATACTTATCGCAATGTTCTTGTTTGTGCTGCCGTTCAATGTCTATAAGAGGAACTTTAACCATTGTTGCTTCGAATGAAATATTTTTGCTAGCCACTCTTGTATTCGATTCAGAGTTTAAACTGCAATGGACTACTAAGTCGGGTGAGATGAGATTGGGATAAGAGTTGCACCCGGTACGACGTCTGAATGCGAACTAAATTAAGTCAATATACTAAAATATAATGAAAATGAATACACTAGCAAATCGTATTGCATGGTGTCATTTAGATTGCAAAAACCCTGTGAACATCACGGTAGGATATTTTGGTGCTCAATGGTTCGTTCTGTTTCAAGATTTCAAAATGTATCTTTATTTTTTAAATTGTCGAATGTCTTCTAAACTATTCGAATCAAGATCATGACTTGAAAATGTTTAGATAGATATATTAATAATGTGATTTATTGGCGACATTTCTAATGCCTCAAATTGTGAACTAACTTATGTTACTAGACAACCTTTTATGAGAATAGATCTGAAAATCTTGTTTTTATTTTACAACCCTCGATAACGCTCAACAAACCCGCATTCGATAACTTTGTTCATTTATTTATTTATTTCGTAACCCTACAGCTAACATAAATTATATATAATAACAAACAGTTACACTGAAAATATAGCCAGAGATGGAATACAAAATACATTTTACTACAAAAAGGTTCAAAAATTTACAAAATCAAACAAACAAAAACAAATTATTCAATACATTCAACTAAATAATACCTAATTTGGCTGTGTTGTGTGATGGTGTAAAAGTGAGGGTACGTGAAGGTGTGTATGTGGGGTATGCTCACGATGCAGGTGATTTAATTTGACGATTTGTTACTTCTTTATTATGTTAGCCTTAGAGCTGATCTCATTCTTTCTTTTCGACACAAACACTTTGCATCCCATATAAACAACATCCGCTCAAGCTTTTTTTAATAATTCAATTCAAATTCAAATTTTTTTAAAAAGCTATATTCACATGTGACAGATCGCAAAGTAATTTTATGTTGCATTCTGTTCACCAAAAAGAATAATATTTATTCGGTGATGATAATTCCAGCCAATGATTTCTACATGGTGATAAAGTTGTTCGACAAATTCTTGTGTTAGGAATCGTCTTACATAAATCATCTTTTAAGTTGAAAGTGGAAATTGTCAACAGGCGACGCCAAATCACTGGGTAGTTGTACAGATATCAAATTTAACTCTGATCTTAGCTGTTTTGGAGATATCAAATGAAAATCTAATTTACCACTGCAAATATCCGTCACTGTATCTAATATGAAGTCTTGTATTTTTCTGAGGTTATATAATAAGTTGTTAGTTATAAATGCTGAGGTGATATAACGCATCGTAAATGTTCAGACATTGAAAGATCGGATTTTTCTAACATTTCAATACATTAATATTGCTACCAGAATCCTGAGACGACAAGCTTTCATTAGATGTGAGTTGACTTTCCGGTCTTACAGGATTTCTTTCAAATTGGGAACCAGAGGAGGTGGAGTATCCCGTGTAATTATGTTATAGTTATATGACTTGTATAGTTTCTCCTTTGGCGTTTCCAATATTCTGTTTTGTAAAGTCACACTGTAGTGACAACAGAAATCACTTGTCTTTACCAAGAGGAGGTGAAGGTTGTCTCTCAGCTTTTTGCAGTTAATCGTTCAATCGCATGGTTAATGTTTCAATCAAAATATCATCGCTATCACTTTAGCGCTTTCGAGGTCTTTTTTTAACATTATATTTGTTGTTATTGTTAATTGAACTGTTGGTGGCGGACATATCTAAGACGGAGAGTTTATTTATTTATTTATTGGAAACTAAACAGATACATCACTATACAGAAAAATAAAATAAAGGTAAAACATAAAATAAATAGACACATTGGACATATCCTCAAAAAAAGTTTCACTAATAAAAAATACAATAAAAAGTAAGACAAGACAAAACATGACAGCAAAATTTAACACTAAACTAGCAGCTACAAAAAAAAACAAGGACGACACAAAGCTTAAGATATTAAGAGTTTTAATTTATTCTTAAATGAAGCAGTAGAGGAGTGCGAAAAAGGGTCGATGTTAGTGATGGAATCCAAGGTGGAACACATCCTGTGAAGAGGCTCACGGAACCCAATGTTGGTTCTGGGAGTCGGATTTCGGGATCGGAAACTGGATTAATCGCACTGGATTCATAAGTAGACCGCAAATCCAGTTACTGGACTGGAATGCTTCCTGGATTCAGTTCATTCCAGTGCCGGTTTACATTTTTCTTTTTGTTTGTAAACCCGCCATTAAAACCAAGGCCGGCGGGCCGGCGGCTTCTAGTTCAGTTTCACTAATATCCACTGGAGTACTCCTTGACAAAGTGAGTGAAGTGGAGTTACTGGCAGAATCTGTTTCTGATGATGAATCACGGTATTTTGCCATTAAAGCAGTAAAACTACTATAACATATGATATCCATCTGTCTTATTTATTTGCGTGGGCAGCTCAATGTCTCTGTACTTTAATTTATATTTCACACGTACACTTAAAACTTGCTGACATTTTTTAGTTTATCAGCCACGAAAAGTATTATGTTATCGTTATGTCCTTTACGAAAAACACATTTTATTTTATCACTGGCCATTGTAACCAAATTAAAAAATAAATATTAAAATCAAACATGTAACATTATGCCCGGTTTTATTATTCCAGTCCAGTGCTGGACTGGTTCTGTAACGTCTACATTATTCCAGTTATTTAGAAGCCGATTTATACAATGATTTCAAGAAGAGATCAGTTTCGAAAACGTTTCAAACGTGCTCAATCTCTCTTGCTGCAGAAGTTATTAATGAGGTTGATAAGGAACTTAAAAAAAAAGAACGGATTTGGGTGAGAAATTGGATCAGCGAAAGAGATCAAAAAGGAGGTTCAGTAATGCTTTTGCAACAACTGAAGGTAGAAGATCCCAATGAATATAGACTGGCACTGAGAATGACAGCAGAAGTAGAGTATTCTGGGTCATCGCTTACTACATTTAAAGAGTCCTCAGTGGTTTGTGTATCTACAGACGCTGGACTATTCAATGGCATATAAGTACTACTACTCGTACTTGGTCTTGACGTATAATTGTTACTTGGCCTTGACGAATTGTCACTGGCATGTGTGTTTGCAGAATATTTAGGACTGTCATATTTCCGTATTTCAAATCGTGTAGTCGACATTTTGTTATCACACTCTGAATTTCTTCTTGGCCTAGGATAACCTGTTCTGTAGAAAGGGTTCTTAATTGCTTCGCAATGTGTTTCCCGAAGATGTCGAATTCATCTTCCACTGTTTCTGATTTGGATAAATCGTATTGCATATCTTTCATGCTACTGACTATTGTAGACATGCTGCGAAATTTTACTTCTTTTCTTTCGCGGTTCTGATAGACTTGGTTCTGGGTTTGTATGGATAGGGTTCCCACATTGGTCACTAGGTTGAGAATTGTCAGTATTTCCTTTATTTTGTAGGAGATGTAGGTGTTCGTGTGTATTTAGAGAACACAATTAAACTGTCCTGACACTTCTACCACTGTTTATTGTTCAAACTACACTAATATAATTAACATCAAGCATAAGCAAAATAAATATAACAGAAAAGATAATTAATAAAAGCGTAAGCAGAAAGATTAGCGCAGTAAAGCAAGCGTGTGTCTGCCGTGAGCGTGCGAGACGGACTGAGGACAGCGGGCGCGCGCGTCACTGCGCCGGCGATCGTTCTAGGCTTCCTTTGTTCTGCAAGTAGCGGGACTTCGTGCGCGCTCACTCGGTGCGACACGACATGAGGACGATCCGACAATGCTCGGGGACCCGACGATGCGGCTATATGGAAATGATATGTTATGTGTTATTATTATGTGTTATTGTGGCTACGCCACATGACTCCCCCCCTTGAGACCATCCTAGGATGGGCGATAATAATCAGGGAATCTCACTCTTCTTCCTGAGCGAGTAATTCTTACTTCTTTATCTATGCTTACAGGGTTTGGAATTTCATCTTCAAACGAACGAGTCTCTGAACGAGTATCTGGTGTAAGTATATAGGCTGGTTTTAACCTCTCTATCGATACTGTCTGTTCTTTTCCTTTAACAAGTAGCTTAAAGACTTTAGTGTCTCGTTGCAGGACTAAGTATGGCCCAGTGTATGCCGGCTGAAGGGATCCTCTCACGGCGTCATCTCGGACTTAAACGTGAGTAGCAGAAGGTAAATCTCGGTACACGAAGATGTTACGTTTGCTGTGTCTTGCGGCTGGCTGAGGGCGGATATTGTTCATAATAGAACGCAGTCGTGCTGAGTATTCGATGAGGTCACTGGTCGTATGCTGGTCAGTTGGTTGCAGAAACTCTCCGGGAAGTCTGAGGGGTTCGCCGTAGAGGAGTTCAGCGGGTGATGCTTGTATGTCCTCTTTGAAGGCGCTTCTCATTCCTAGTAGTACTAGAGGTAAGCTTTCCGTCCATTTAAGACTTCCATGGCATATTATGGCTGCCTTAAGTTGTCTGTGCATCCGTTCCACCATTCCGTTGCTTGCAGGATGATACGCAGTGGTTCTGTTGCGTTGAAATCCGGCAAGTTCTGATAACTGTTTCAGCAGTGCAGACTCGAATTGCTTCCCGCGATCTGTCACTACTTCAGTAGGGCAACCGTAACGTGATATCCAGTTGCAAACAAGAGCTTTGGCGACTGTTTCAGCGGTTATATCTTGCAAGGGAATTGCCTCGGGCCATCTAGTGAATCTATCTACGGCGGTTAGACAATAACGGTAACCATCCGAGAGAGGTAGTGGTCCGATGAGATCAATATGCACGCAGGTAAATCTACCGTTTGGTAGCTTGAAGTTGCCCATCTGTGGAGTTACGTGCCGAGTGACCTTTGAAAGTTGACATGGGTGACAGAGCTTGGTCCAATCGCGACAGTCTTTATTTACTCCTGGCCATACGTAACGCTGAGCCACTAGTTTTGCAGAAGCTTTAGCGCCAGGATGGCTAAGTGAGTGCAGGCTGTCGTAGACTTGTCTTCTGAACTCTTTTGGTACGTAAGGTCGTGGGTTTGGCGTGCTGTCGTCACAGTAAAGTTCCAGTTTTGTTCCAGGTACAGTTACTTTGACAAGTTTAAGCGAGGTTCCACTTTCTAGGAGTTGCCTTAGTTCTGGGTCTTTTCCCTGTGAAATGGCCAAGTCCTTTGTTTCGACAGGTTGTACTATTTCCTCTATTCTTGAGAGAGTGTCGGCAACTACATTATCCTTTCCTGATATGTGTTGGATGTCAGTTGTGAATTGAGCTATATAATCTAAATGCCGAAACTGGCGTGGTGAACACTTTTCTTTGTGACTTTGAAATGCGAAGCAGATTGGCTTGTGGTCTGTAAATACTGTGAAGTGCCTTGCTTCCACCAGGTGTCGGAAATGTTTTATTGATTCGTAAATCGCAAGTAGTTCTCTGTCATACGGCGAGTATTTCTTTTGCGATGGACTCAATTTACGGCTAAAGAAGGCGAGGGGCTTGCCATTCCCCGTCTTTCTGCTGCTGTATAACACCGCCGATTGCGACGTCGGATGCATCCGTGACCAACGCTAGTTTGGCGTCCATGTCTGGGTGCGCTAGGAGAGCTGCTTGGCATAGACTCTTCTTGCAGTCTTCGAATGCCTGGAGTGCTTCTCCGGTGACGTTTATGGGGTGATTGCCTTTTATGGATCCGGTAAGTAAGCTATGCAATGGCGTCTGGAACGAGGCAGCGTTTTTGATAAAACGACGGTAGAAATTAATCATCCCCAAGAATCTCCTTAACTCTCGAACAGTTTTCGGGGTGGGGTAGTCCTTAATCACTTTGACTTTGGTATCTAGTGGTCTGATACCTTTGCTAGATACGCTACAGCCGAGGAACGTTACCTCTTGTGCCCCAAAAACACACTTGGATGTGTTTATGACCATACCGTACTCCTTCAATCGCTCGAAGAGGAGGCGTAAGTGACGGTAATGTGTCTCCTCGTCAGGGGAGGATATCAGAAAATCGTCTAAATATGTGTAGCAAAAGTTCAGGTTGTGAGTCATTTCATCTACAAATCTTTGAAACGTTTGACCTGCGTTTCTTAGGCCAAACGTCATATAAGGAAACTCGTACATTCCGAAGGGCGTGGTTATGGCCGTTTTCGGAATATCCTCGGGGTTTACTGGAATTTGGTTATACGCCTTGATTAAATCGATTTTTGAGAAGATTCGGCAGCCAGCTATGTTCTGGGTGAAGTCCTGGATGTGCCGGATAGGATATCGATCGGGAATCGTTCGTGCGTTTAACATCCTGTAATCGCCGCATGGTCGCCATCCGTTGTCCTTTTTTGCGGCGAGGTGAAGGGGCGATGACCATGGGCTCTCTGACGGTCGTGCTGTCCCTATTCTCAGCATTTCTCCGAATTCCTGTTTTGCAATCTTCAGTTTGTCTGGGGCAAGTCTTCTTGGAGTGCAATATACGGGCGGTCCGGCGGTTGTTTTTATGTGATGAACCGTATTGTGACGTATGACCCGATGTGTACTTGCTGGTCGAGTGATTTCTGGAAAATCTCGAAGAAGGTTCAAGTACTTGGACTCGCCTGTTATCGTTTTGACTGAAGTTATGGCATCAGATGCAGGAACTGGATTTGCGCTTGCTGACAGGCTGGTCTTGTTGTCGATCAGGCGTTTGTTACGACAGTCTACGATTAAGTCGTAGTACGATAAAAAATCGACTCCGATAATAGCCTTTGTAACGTCAGCTATTATGAACTGCCAGGAAAATGCACGCCGAAGACCTAAGTCGAGTTCCATTTGTTGGACACCGTATATGGCGATTGGTGTTCCGTTCGCTGCGTAAACGTTGAGTTCGGTTGTGCGTGGTCGCCTTTGTTTCAGGGCAGAGCGGGGGAAAACGCAGATGTCACTCCCAGTGTCAACTAAAAACTGCGTTTTTGTCCTTCTGTCCGTTATGAATAAGCGACCAGTAGTAGGGCTACGGCAATCATGTGTCGCTACTGATGACTGCCTTTGGCATTTCCCGACCCTGATTTAAAATCACAAGGTTTTAGGCATCTTCGTGCCTTGTCTCCGTATCTGTGGTGGAAAATACAGGTAGGGAACTTCCTATAATTTGACTGGGAACGCGTGTTGCTTCTTCCCCGTTGACTTGTACTCCTCGACCTGGATCTCGAATCTCTTGCAGAGAGGGCCTGCACTTGGCGACTGAGCTCTGCAATCTCTCTTGACAGTTTTTCAATGATTGAATTTGGGACTGCGTCCGTGGCGGCCACTTGTGGCGCGGGTGGTACAAGGTCGTGCACTTTATCAGCCAGATCTGCTAGTGCTGAAAGTGACGACTCTGGCTGCGATGCGACGACGATCTGTATGTTGCCCGGTAAGCGGCTAGTCCACACAGTCTTTATAAAATCATCCGGTATGCTCGGACCTGCTAGATGCTGCAGGTGCCGAAGAAACGCGGATGGTCGCCTGTCTCCTAATTCCTCATGCATCAGCAATTGGGTTAATTCCTTTTCACGCGACGCTGATAACCTATCTGCTTCATAATAACTGGCCACATTGTTCTCTACACTAGTAAAGAGCACATCGGCCAACCTAATTAACTTGTCATCTGGAACAGGACTATGTTCAATCCACCAGTCAATAGTGCTCAACCTTGCTAGTAAACGATCATGTTTGTGGGTGTCCTCAATCTCACTTCGAGAACTGTCGCTGGACAAGAGGGCCCTTGGTATACCGTATTTTCTTAATTCATGCCTAGAGAGTGCAATCGGATATTTTTGATTCATTAGTATCATTGTCGTTGCTAGGGGATTCGGGTCTTTTGTACATTTTGAGCTTCTCTCTATTAACTTAGTGTGGTATAACTTTCTCTCTGCAATTATATCTAGACTCTTCTGATTCATTCGCAATATCATTCTCGCAGCCTTAAGCAATATTAACTTGGTCCCTTCGGTCAATTTTTGGTTTTCCATCTCAACAGTTTATTTTACAAGGAGCATCATCAGTATTTTCCTGAAAAGAAAATATTTTTACTTTATTTTTGCAGATACCCACTGCGGAACAATGGAATGGGTTGGTAAACACTAGCACCAGATGTGGATGACTTCTTAATCTTGTCTAGTTCAAGGTAGTATGTCGAACGAATACTTTTTATTTTGTTTTTCACATCTTCCAATGTGAATCCTTCAATTTCCATACCAATGCACAGATTTTGCAAAGCAGTTTGGCGCATAGCTTTGTTTTTATAATGTTCTGAGGTTATATCCCATAAACACGGATTTTCTCTGTATATAGTGACAAACTTTACAGTTTCCTCTTCAGATAACTCACCATTGTTAAATCCTTTTTCTTCGCAAAAAAAGTCCTCAAAAACAACCAACACGTGTGTACTTCGTCAGCACTGGAATGGCACTGGATTGGCCGTCTACATTATTGCAGTTACACTGGATTAATCGCACTGGATTCATAAGTAGACCGCGAATCCAGTTACTGGACTGAAATGCTTCCTGGATTCAGTTCATTCCAGTGCCGGTTTACATTTTTCTTTTTGTTTGTAAACCCGCCATTAAAACCAAGGCCGGCGGGCCGGCGGCTTCTGTGTGTAGATAGCTTAACGACACAAACGTGGAGAAGCTATTATCGAATGACAATATGGATGCCTATTGGAAGGGCTAGTTGATCTAGTTCTTACAGTAGGAAATTAAACACTCCAATGATGACTTGATTCACTGTAATTCACACACTGATTTAACGTCAACTGTGTAACTTCAAACTTGAACAAAGGAATTGCCCGTGCGCATGTGTTACACCCACTTTTATCATCTATTCCCCACTCCGACTCGACTTTCCCACTTCGGGCAGTTATTCGAGTCAATTCGTAACAATTCACGAGGGCGCTGTTCCATGGCATGACACTCGTATCACAATATTACTTGAACGAAATACTTAGTATAATAAATTGCACTAACCGTCGGATAATTGAGTTTCTTTCAAAACGTTCAACCAAGCTGCATCTTTGACGTCAGTAAGTTTATAGGTATCTATTAATGTTAATTATTATTTATTGATGTGTTCCATAGACATGGATATTTTTTTACTGATTCATAAATTATTCATCCCATAACAAATGAAGCTATAAAAGTTGGAAGATTTTTGTTAGCAACCCCCATAACAAGGCTTTTTAATATGGTTATGGATTCACGAAAAATACCCAGAGAATGGGCACGGTCTGACATAATTTTACTATATAAAAAAGGGGACCCGACTGATGTGGGCAACTACCGCCCGATAAGCTTGCAACCTAGTATGTACAAATTGTTCGCTTCCTGTCTAGAACGACGCTTGTCAAAATATACCGAAGAATATCAACCAGTAGAACAAGCTGGTTTTAGAAGAGGCTTCTCTACTATAGATCATATTCATGTCTTAGACATGATTATAGAAAAATATATCGACCAAAACTGCCCCCTATACCTAGGTTTCGTTGATTACGCCAAAGCTTTTGACACCATATCTCACAAAAGCATGTGGCAAGCTCTTGGTGAATGTAATGTTCCTTATGAAATAATAGAACTCATACAAAATATATACCAGCAAAGCGTAAGCCGCGTGAAGTTAGACAGAATTGGCCCAGAAATAAAAATATGCAGAGGCGTAAGACAAGGCGATCCTTTGTCACCTAGAATATTTATAACGGTTCTACAAAGCGTAATGAAAACCCTTCAATGGGAGAAAAAAGGGATAGAAATAAATGGTCAGTATCTAAGCAACTTGAGATTCGCCGACTATATAGTTATCTTCTCAAACAGTGCGACGCAGCTACAAGACATGCTTAACGAATTAGTCTGCGCAAGTAAAAGCATTGGCCTAGAAATGAATACCTCCAAAACTAAAGTTATGACTAACAGCAAAGAACGACCAATTTTTGTCAACGCCACGTCTCTTGAATATGTCCAAAACTACATATACCTAGGAAAACAAATATCGTTTAGTCAAAACAGACATGTGGAAGAAACAAACAGACGTGTAAACCTAGCATGGAACAAATATTGGGCTTTAAAAGAAGTACTGAAATCCAACCATAACTTAACTATAAAAAGAACAGTCATGGACACATGCATACTTCCATGTTTGTCATACGGATGCCAAACCTGGATTTTTAACAAGGCGTTAATAAAAAAGATTGGGGTATGCCAAAGGGCTATGGAGCGCTCCATTCTTCAATTGAAGCTTAAAGACAAAATAAAAAACAAGATTATACGAAGTCGTACAAAAATAAAAGATGTTGTAACTTATACAAAAAGGCTAAAATGGAAATGGGCCGGTCACATTGGCCGCATTTGTGATGGCAGATGGGTCAAAAAGACCCTTACTTGGAAGGGCCCAGTGGGAAGAAGAAAGAGAGGATGCCCACCGAAAACTTGGGAAGACGATATAAAAGGGATAGCGGGAAAAAACTGGAAAATTGTCGCATCAAATAGGGATAAGTGGAAGAATCTGGAGGAGGCCTTCACTCCATCGGAGGTCGAGTACAAGTGTAAAACTTAAAAGACATAGACTTACTGTAGTTATAGTGTACTCGAATAAAGGCTATTTTTATTTTATTTTATTTATTTTAAATTATTCATCCATTACGATTTATTTAAATTAATTGTTTACGTTGAAAAATACAAACGACACAATTATTCACGATAGAATCGTGTGCTCGCGTGAACGTAACTAGCAAGATGACCGGCGGCGCGCGCGCGGGGCTCTGCGGGTTCCTGGCGGGCGAGAGGGGGGACACCGCTCCCTGCAAGCTGCTCACATCTGTCGTCTCCACTGCGCGTCGTCCGCGCACAGCTTACATCTCCGCTTCCTTCATGCCATACAACTATTAAACATCTCCGCACAGCGATCACCATTGAGATGTGTCAATAACACAATTCTTATTTGTTGTTTGAAAAACATCTCCTCTCTGCTTGTCTCGTCTCCGCTTTGGTGGAGTCCCGGCCTTAACTCCCTATGATTACTATCTCTTTGATAATATTGTGCCTGAAGCCTGATCTACGTTGTTTGTTCTTCAGTCGATAACTCGGAAGCTAACAGCCCTGCACGATTACAAATTTTGTGTAGTACACAACAGGCTATTGCAATTTTCCCCACAGTATTAGGGTCATAATGTAGTACTCTATGTACTAACAGGCACCGAAACTGTCCTTTTATGATACCTATAACTCTTTTGACGCAGTTACATGCAGTAGCATGTACTTTATTATTTGTTGCTTCAGGTGATTGATCCATTTAAAACGTTAGGCACTGGTACCATCATATATGCTCGTTGACAGTAAGCACTATCACAAAGAATATTATAAAAAAAAAAAAGAATTAAAGCATGTTGTTAATTAAATAAAAAAATAAGATCATGTGTTCAGTATAATATAATAGGTATTTTAAAATATGGGATTATGACAAACCAAGTAAAAATACAGTTTCGTCAGAATTATTCAATTCCTCCAAATGTTCTTTTATGACAGAATTATTAAATATAAAATTGTCATGGAATGAACCACCATATGATGCATCCACATGCAAAATGTTTAAGTCTGAAATCTAATATTTTTTGACGTTGACAAAATATAAAAAAGTGTGACTGGTTTTGTTTAAATAACAATCACCAATTGAACATTTCTAGCATAATAGCCTTTTCGGCGATAATATCTTTCTTCATCTTCTTTTTAGTCCAGTCATTATAGGAAGTTCACCTCGGAATTCGAGATACCTTTTTTTGTTTGCTGCTGTAATGTGATTCTTATAGTGGAAACGACCGAATATGTTCATCCAATAGCCGTGATTGCTTCGTTTGATGAGACGTTACCTCGATTACGATGCCGCCCTCGTTTATCTTCAGGTAGTTTTCCCTCCGATTAAGAGAGGTAAGGCGAAAAATAGCCTTACCTTTTATAGTTTATAAAATTGAAAAAGCTTGACGGCATACTCGAATTTTTTCATTTCCTTTCATTGCAAAATATATGAAAGTGCTGTCACGTTTTTTTGAATTCTCCCGTTTTGAACGGCGGCGATTAATAGTTGCGTATTCAATGAGACTCATCATATGTCCTGTTCATTTTTCGGTCGTCCGTTATCAACCGATTCAAACTGCTGTTTTTCTTCAGTACTAAACTGCTGAGTGCAGTTTATTTTACAGAGACAGTCACTATTACTTTTAGATTTAGCTGACACTAACCTCCCAGTACTTGTACTCACATAATATTGACCAAGTAGTCGCTGTGACTTCTGTTTTTCTTTTTTATACAGCTGGATATTTCTAACACCTCTTCTTCTTTTTCGGAGTCTCAGCTTCTGACTCGTTATCAGTTGAATCTTTAAAGCTACTTTCACTGGTCATATGGTATTAGATCGCTAATATGACGCCCCCCACCACTACGTGATGCGATTTTGTTTATCGTATAAAAACAGCCAAAAAGAAATATTATTTCTATATTCGTGAAGTTGGAAGAAGGGAATAAAGGAAGGATTTATTTCCTTCATCCAACTAAGATTTTTTTCTATTGTCTTCCTACTACAGGACATCAGAGAACACATTTGGTCTAGCGTGTCAACGCCACGTTTTGTTTGATTATAATACATAATCATATCTGGTTTGCCAGTAGTTTCGTTGATGGTAGCATTCTCATCACAAGATAACAAGTAAACCAATTTTGCCGGTTTCGGTTTGTATGAGAAGAGAGTAAGGGGTCCGTCAAAATAAAACATCTATGTCCCCACTGGCCTGGAGCTACTGTTTTTTAGCTCTTCCGGTATCTCACGTTTGTTTGATCGTATGGTTCCCACAATGGTTAACTTATAAAGTTCTTGGAGCAAGCTTTTTGCCAAAGGGATTGAGGTAAACCAATTATCGCAGGTAATATTACGACAACTACCATGTACAGGCTTTGACATTTCCTTTGACATTTCCGAGGCGAGAGGATAGGAAGACTTACTGCATCTTTTCTTTGATCAGTGTCATGTGTAAAAGTAGAACTACTGGTTCCCTGGCATATTCAAAATCGCTGTTATAAACCCACATTCCCGTTTGAAATGTCGGAATTCGTAATCTTTTTTGAATGTGCAGCTCGACTAATTTTTGACGCAGAGTTTTCAAGTAATCACGCCTCGATAAAGGTTTTTTATAAGCCTCCAGAGTGTAGGTTACAATATATACCGCAACTATTTATAAATGCAATATTTAGCATTCCGTAAAAAATACATAAAGGCCAACGTCGAGTTGTTCGGCTGCAGGAAGAACACATTTGGTCCAAGGTAGACACCGCCCTTAGTTTGATTGTGGAACTCGACCTTCGTGGGCTTTTTAGTAATCTCATCATTGTCCCCAACAAGCTCCCAAGCGAAATTAGAGAATTATCACTAAATAAATTCAAAGCCCTCGTTAAACGAAAATTAATCAACAAAGCTTTTTATAAATTTGAGGACTACTTAAATGATCCTAATCCTTGGGATTGAATTGCTCCAGTTCAAACAATTTGTATGACAATACTTGGCGATTAAAAAGAGTGGCGGAAAGTTTCTTGCCAGTTCTTCTTACCCGCTCTACGCCCTTGACTTGCGAACTGGTAGTAAATGTAAATTTACGATTAATTTAACTTGACGATTCAAAAGTGTACTTGGTTACCTACTTGAATAAAGATATTTTGAGTTTGAGTTTGAGTCCCTTCCTCATCACAAGTAGACAGTAAAAATATTGTCTTTTGGGGCTTAGGCTTGTATGACAGCAATGTCAATTCCTTGTCGTAACAGAAAATAGCTGTCCCTAGTCTTCCGGGTATGCACGTGCTGTAATTCTAAGGGTATCTCCCTTTTGTTAGCACGTAGAGTTTCCAACCGAAGTCAAATTATACGGTTATTTTACTAAACTTTTTGGCTAGTTGTACCGAGTTAACCAGTTGTCCCTGGTTATATTTGTATTTGTAACGTGTAGAGTCCGTGTCAATTTTTTGACGAAATATTAGCCAAGTGATGAAGGAAGATATTGTATTATACACTAGGTTATAAAACTTATCACTACTATGAGTAGAATTTAACACTAAGAATTTGTGAGAGAGGAAAAACCTCACAGTTCTTGTAAACCTAAGACACTTTCTCATATTAATAAAAACATGGGGTCTTGATTAAAACTAAAAATTATAACTAAGCTAAGAATAATCTTATACTCTATACTATGAAATTAGAAATTTAAATTAGGAAGAAAATATATATAATGAAGAATGAAGTTATTATATTGATTGTTCCCGAACCATTGAGATAATCCACTCCTTACCTCACCAAATATTTCCTTTAACATGTTAATCCTTATCGTTCTCTGTGTCTCTTTGTTAAAATCGGCTATAAAATTGGGATGTAATTCCAGCTGTTTGATAATTGCCTTGAGATTCATATTGAGGATATTTATGATAGCTTGAACCTTAATAGGAAGCTGACAAATTTGCATCAGGGGATTAGCTTGAGGATTTAATAGGGAAGCGATCAGGTTTAAATTACTATCTAAAGATACTAATGGTAAGTAAGTGGTAATCCGTAGGTTTTAGTAAAAGAACCTAGATAGGTCGCGGCATCCACCATATAGTTTGTAGAATTATCTACCAACATTACAATTTTCACACCATATTTATTGGGTTTATTGGGAATATAAATTCTAAAAAGGGTACCTTCCTCTGATACCCAATATCTGTTCATAATTGGCAAGGAGGTATCAACTAGGTTTCTGATTCTCTTGACATGCAGCTATTAAAAAAAGCCCATATATCTCGATAAGGGGCATATACTTCAGTCAATCTTCTGACTAATTAACAGTATTGTAATTTTCTGTAATGGTCAAGTATTCTTCGGGATTTTAAACTTTTTTTTATCTCTCGTTTACGTAAATCTTTTTCAATCATTCCAAATACTCGATCCGGCGGTATTAATGAATGTCCTACTACGGGAAACACTATTTCAACAACCTACACTGTTTCCGGGGCATAATTTGTAAGCCACTTAGCTATTATTGTCACCATTAACGAGTTTTTATTTTATCCACTGCAGCCATCCGCAATCAGACGTACTGTTTTTATTTCAATACAGTCTGTTGAACGAAGTCGGTGGAATACAACAGAGTCAATTTCATTTGAACCTTTCGCCAAAGTGTCTTCAGTCCAGCAGTAAGCAAAGGTATTTTCCTTTGAAAGTTTTGTCTTAGAAGTACCTTGAATAACGGTACAGTTATAAGCAGATGAACAGATATAAGCGGTTGGTCTATCTGGTCTTGTAACGTTTCCGATAAAGGATTTTCAGTTGTAATTCAAGGGGCATAAGCATCTTCGGGTATAAAATCAGGAACAATATAAGCCAATGGCTTTGAATCCATTTGTCATATTGGTTTGAGTTATACATTTCGGCTATGTTCGCGAGAAATTTTTATTTAATGCAACTTTGTTTAAAGTTCTCTCTGGACAATTGCACAGGTCGTTCAACACTTCTTCATCCCAGTGATGTTCGAAGGACCGATTGACTGATTTGTCTAGACTCTAGAGGTTGGAGTTCGTGTGTAGTGTTAGAAGGTAAGCAATACAGTACTACTATATTATTTTTATCTGCTTTTTCTAGAGTTTCATATGTTAAATGACACTTTGCACCATTAAAGATAAGCAGACACTTACCGGGTGCTTTATGTTGAGCAAAATGTTGAATGAACTCTACGAACAAGCTACTGGTCATGCTGCCTTTTGAGTGCCATGCTTTTCTTTGTTCCATGTGGCAAATTTGATCCTATCAAGAAATTTCATATCTTCAAAATATATGGTACATCCGTGGCACATATTCTTCATATGTTGGCCGAGTGCGATAGCCACGCTGAGTATCCATGGCAACTGCTAACACTGGAACGAAATTGCAACTTTTATACACAATCAAAGATTCTTAAGACTGGACCCAAAGATATCGAACAGGAAGGTCCTCGCTCACACTATCCTCAATCTTTGTAGCTATTGCTCAAATAGTCACTGAATTGTCTCAATTGGGCCCCTCTCACACCAGTATGCTCAAGTGTTTTAATAGAATTTCGATAGAGACCGGGTCAAAAGCTTTAGGTGCCCCCTTTTAGGTTTCTAATAACCCATTAGATCTCCCAGAGCAAAAACCGTACTGGGAGGTAGATAATAGGTTATTCTTTTCTAGGTATTTTATTAGCCTGTTATTCATTATTTTTTCCAAAACCTTAGACATAGCAGGTAGTCTGGATATCGGTCTATAAATGTTGACACGGTCCCTAACGAGGCCTCCTTTATGGACTGGGATTATTAACGCTTGAATAGTACCATTGCTGAGAGCCAAATTACATATATGTGTGAGAGGGGGCACAATAATTGCTTTATACGACCTTAGAATCTTGGCGCTAATACCGTCACGTCCTGTGGCATCGCTCTATAACGATGTCACCTCACACTCATCAGTGGCTAACAGTACTAGAGAATTATGACGAATACGAGTATTACCTCCAAGACTGCATTCAACAACAGAGTTAGAACAGTTCTTTTTTATTTTATTTTCCGATAACAATGATACAAAACTGGACACTATACTTAACTGTTTAGAAGCTTTCCATAAAAGAATATGTATTTTAGAACAAAATAATATAAGCAATTAAAAATGCTACTTGTAATGCCCAAGAATTACCAACATTGTAAAACTTATGGCCTGGACGCAAATGGCCTTCTTATAAGACGCCTAAAGAGAAATAAACCTTTTGAGTTAATAAACCTAGTGTAGTGAATATGTTATAGAACACCAAGACTGTTAATGATCATTACCTTAGTTTAAGTTATAGTATTGTTGAAAACTAGGTCAAAATAATATTACTTATTAGCCAAGGAAAATTTAATTTCTCTATCAAGTCTCCCAAGAGCTTAAAAAATATATCAACTTCATCCTTATTAAATGCAATCGCTCTATTTAAGTAAACTCGTTCCTTCTGCTTTACGGACAGATAAATTGTTTCGCTTCATGAAGCCTTTAAGCCAGTCTTTGCCAGCCATTTGAGTAGCATTATTAAAGTTATTATGCACATTATTTTTTACTGCGTATTCATACGCTATTCTCTTTATTTCACTTGCTGTGCACCCGTAAAATATCTTTGCTAATAGCTTGATTTGATCAGCCATGTCTTTTTCTTGAATTTGATTAAACACGGTTATTCTGCCGCATTTTGTCATCTGCATATTGGGTTTTTTTAGCCTTTCTTGCAATGTTGAAAACGGAATACCCGTTTCTTTTGCAGTTTTTCTAATTGGTTTTCCTGCTGCAACCAATCGAAAAGCGTGAGCTAGGGTACTTTAATCCCATTTTACTTTGAAAAAGTCCATCAGTTAGCACTCTGGAAATTATTTAAGTATTGTTTTAATGTTATAAATTAAAGACGTACCTTTTACTTTCAACGGACGCAAAATTCTAACAAAATGGCGCGAAAACTGACGACGTGCACTCCGGCTCAGCGTGTAATCGGAACTGAGCGGGGGGTCTAGCCAAGATGGCTTAACAGTAGTGTATGTAGAAAGTCGAAAACTAAATTTGTATGAAAATGACAGCTCGTGTCGACAGTCGGTAGCCTAGGCCCTAAAGGCGTGAGTCGGGATACAATAAGCGACGCCATGACAGTGCTACGAAAAGACACACATTAACGCTTACGCTATTCGGTAGCCAACGGCCAATTAATGTTTCGGCAGTGTAGAAAAAACGGCGTTTCTCCGCCATGTTTTAGCGTGATCTCAAAAGCTGCTGTTTGCAATAATTCAGTACAACTATCGCCATCTTTAATGGCTACCGTTTTAAAAACATGTCATATATTGGACATTTTAACGAAATGGTTTTAATTTGTTATCTGTCTTTTTTAACGTTCTCGTGTAATTATAATAATTTAAACTAGAGTCAATATTTTTAAGTTAAGAGTTTTAGTTTTTCTATGAATCAATGCGAGGATAACATAATAGACACAGATAAATATGAAAATATCAAGAAAATCAGCAAATTAGTAGAGGTAAATCCTAGTTATATTGGATATCTTTTATTTTTCTTTAATTTGAAAAATACATATACCATTTAATATTGCTTATATTATGTAATCACAAAGTAAAATGATTGTACATATTATTTGTATATTTCAGATGAGAAAGCAGTCACTAATGAACATTATTAGAAGTTCTAAATATATTTTATTGTAATTATAATAGAAGCTAATGATATAATATTGATTTAAATTAATCAAATAAAGTGGATTTTTACTTCATGAACTTTGGAAATATAAAATATAGTGAGCAATACTAAGTACTTAATGGTAAGCAGATATTTTCTTTAATTATTTACTAAGTTAATATACTAGAGAAGTTATTATAATATTGTTAATGAATGAGAAGTTTTAATTCAAGTCCTTTGGGAGTTACTGACATTGTTTGGTTATTAAAAACTTTAATTGATAATAAGCAGCAAAGTGACAAATTAAGTATATTTTTAAGTTTAGAATGAAGTAAAGACTTTTAATATTAAAGTTACCTATTGATCAAAGTACTAACTAAAATATTTTATTTTCAGAAAAAGACAACTAAAAGTATTTAAAAAACCACAAATGGACAAGTTTTATTAAAGTCTTATCTTTTAATTAATTAAAGTGTTATATTATGTACCTGAAAATGAATTTGATAATGGGGAACGAAGCATTTTATGAATAATGTAAAAAATAAGACAAGTGGAGTATGAAATAATGGTTGGTTAAGTAACATTACCTCAAGAACAGGAAACAGTAACTGAAACTATGTTCTTCCACATTTAATCTTAATAAGTTCAGCAGTTTGAATGTTAATGAGATATTATTATAAACAAACTGCATTTGTAGATTTTGGGAAGAATTATATCTTTACAATAACTATTATTATTTACAATTGTTGTGTTAAGGAAACAATCACTATTTTTTTAATCGCCCAGGATGTATTCATAGTAACTGTAGGTATCATAGTAATTTTATGAAATCATCACAACATCTAACGTTAGGTTTTATGAATTGAACAATTTTTTGTATATAACAGCACACAAACAAGATATTGACATTGCTGCAAATTAACACTTACATTAGTTAATTATCTACATATATGAATACATCATTAGGTAGTAATGCATTTAATTTGGTGCACCTGCGTGTGTTCAGTAGTAATGTCTGTATTGTTTAATAAGTTGTTACATATGCTTATTTTTCTATGTAGACTGCATTATGTTAAGGAAGATATTTGGTGCCTTATTTTAATAAAAAATAACCATAACTGAAACATTTTTATTTTGCTACCTGTTTGTTTAATATTCTAACTTTATCTAACTATTAGTAGGTATGGGTAATTCATATATGCATTATCTGTATATTATTGTAAAATAAACTAATATTGTGAACCACTTTAATGGCTTTTCCTACTAAAGAAGACATAGGTAAATTACCAAAAATAAAACTGACAAATACATAACATACAATGTTTATTCATTTCTTACTTAAACAGATTTTGCATTTACATATTAACTAGTAGCAAATCACTGATATAACCAAAAGTTAATTGACATAAATATTAACTTAAAATCAGCATCAAACTTAAATTTATATCTATTATATCTAAGATGTTGGAGCATCAATATGGAATCAAAGGTTGATTAAGGGTTATAATTTCATACCAGACTAAGTTTCTATTTTATATTTTTTATTAATTCCTCTTTTCATTTCATTGAGTAGGTACTTGCTGTTTTTCAATTCTCACTTTCTAAAAGTATAAATATATTATAAACAATCAACTTTTATGACTCTAACTTAAACTGAAATTGTTTGTTGGACATAAACAGAGATAATTCCATTTAGTAGCAAATCACTAATAAAATCTACACTTATATATAAATCTGCTTTCAAATTGACATTAAAAATGTTCAAGCACAAACACCAAACCTAATTAAAGCTTAAATCAAACTCTAATTTCAGTGATCACACTAGTCTACGTTTTTTTTCTATTGTTTTTTAATTCCTTGGACTTTATCAACTTCTAGTCAACCTTATTTTCACTTTTTATTTATCAATCCACAGTACTATTTTTATTGTTTCTTCTAAGCGGTAACAAAATATGTTGCTTCTTCATTTTGTAGATTAGTTGTGAGGTCAAATCCTAAAAATATCAAAGTATGAGTACTACTAATTACTATATATCGCGATTATGCAATTTCAAAATATTGTATTTATTTGTAGCCTTAAATTTCTGAGAAAACATGAAACAAACCATAATTAATTTAAACATGCAATTAAAATTCATATATTCACTTTGCACCTTCCGTAAATTCCACTTAAATCGAAAATTGTTCCGACCTTGCTGACATTCTAATGTCCCTTTTGTAGCTTCCAATTGCAAATTTACAATAATATTGTAAAGTTTTAACTTTTATTTGTTTATAAAAGTGACATTAGGAATACATTTAATCCAGAGACAATATGACGGAATAAGGTGCTACGAACAGCAGCTCGCATCTACGCTGTCGACTTTGCGGTAATGTATCGACATGTCTCTTGGCTACGAACGAAGCGTTTTCGACAATACAATTACGCAAAAGCGGTAGTGTATGTAGAATACTTTTCGACACCAATATGGCTAACGGGAACGATCACGCCACCTTGTTTACATGCGTCTGTCCATGTAGCGAGCCGTTTTGTATGTACTAGTAAAGTGATCGGGATTATCTCCTGACTGGCAATACCCGCTCTTACCCTATAGGCTAGATTGTAACTCATGTAAAGTCGCACTTTTTTTTTGAACTTTATTGTAAGAAAAAAATCACCTGTTAATATAATTGTTTTATAGCTCTTGCATCTTGTAAGTAAGATATTTAGTGATAATATACAATTCGATTTATTGTGATATGATGGAGAACGGTATATGTCAATGATAATTATATTTGAGTTAATTTTAACTACTAAGCAATTAGCATCCATGAACACCGGTTCCTCTATATGGGTAGGGATAAAGTCCTTAATGTAGGTACATGTCGGAGATTGAACGCGCCATAATAATTGTGTCCGGACACCACGATGAATTGTTGAAGATAATGACGTCATAAATTGGTTTGTGGGCATCAGCCATTTACTTTCGACATTAAAGTCCACTTTTTAAAGGCTTCTGATTGGTTCGGCCGCTCAAACGAACTAAACGCTTCACCAACCAGTTCCCATATATATAGCAACCAGAATTTGTAATAAAGAGGTTTCGTGACATTTCGTGTACTCGTTCCACGACCGAACCCGAATCGACCACAGAGTCAAACGGAAGTCATAGAAACAAGTGTCAAAGATTACTTTAATATTTATTATCAATAAGTTTTAAATGTTTAAAGTGATATGATAATTAATAATAACTATTGACTTTAATTAATAATAATAATGACTATGGAGTCATTATTACTATCGACCATTGAATAGTCGGTAATTTATAGATCCAGCAACATTGACAAATAGACCATTCGTATTAACGGCTTCGTAATTTGACTTTGACATTAATAAATGACAATGACAATGACAGCTGACACTAACACCATTTCTTCAATATAAATAATAAAGACTACAGACTATCAAATAGTCCTTAATTTGCAGATCCATTAATATTGGTAAATAAAATAAACCATATAACGGTTTTGAACTAATTTTACCCCGATATTACCAAATAATGATGAATGACAATAGCAGCTGATCAACACCATTCCTTAAACATAAATAATAAATGCTATGAATTTACCACAGTCTATCAATCCTTAATATTATTTATTTACTTGAATTAAATATCAATCTTTATATTTATGTAACAATATAATGATTATATATAAATTTGCGTCTATATATATTTATTTACTTGAACTAAATAAATATTTACCTGAATTAAATATCAATCTTTACACGTTTGTAAAAATATAATCATTATATATGAATTTGCGCCCACATACATTACCACGCCATCGTTTTGTAGTAAGTTATGTAGTATGGAAAGAGCCGTGTAGTGTCGGTAAGGTATTGTTTTCCGACATTCAGTCAGTATAATGAAAATGTATTTGGCATTCTTGCAAGTCGTTTTAAGATTTACCAAAAACCTATTAAATTATCTCCAAGAAAAGCAAAAATGAGGAGGTAACTTTCAAAACGTGATTTGTCCTCCAGCTACGGAACCGAGAAAATGCACTTTTTTATTTTGACAAAATTGAGAAAACTTTTTGTTGATTATTTTTTGCATAAACAGGAAGTGGACTCTACTGAATGATATTATTAGGTTGTCATAGATAAATTTGGCTTGTATATTATTATTTCAACGATTTAAAAATGGACAAAACAAGTTTTGCATGAACCTTGTGGACAAAACATGTTTTGAACTGAAAACACGTTAAAAAGTAGCAGTCAAAATGTGTTTTGTATATACAATATTAAGTGGTATTTCAAGTATGGATTAAGTATGGATTTAATAAACAATTAATGGGTACTAAAACAAATAATAATGTTAGGCAATGTTTTATTTTAGCTTCACAATTAGTTAGTATAGTAGTATCTTAAATTCTAACACACTCTTCTTCATCTAGGCAATCACATTCATTCTCTTCATTTATTTCCTCCGCAACAGTTGGAGCATTGAAAAGGAGTTCTTTGTACCAATTGAAGCGGTTGTCGTCTAGCTCTTGACAGTTTCCAAAAACGGCCTGCTTCAGTTCATCAGTTAAGGATCTTCTTAGAGGCAATGTTTGTGGTTCCATTCTGCGTAACAAACATATTATTGGTGAATGACTTCTTATTGAGACTTTTATAGGATTCATCTCCCTCGTAGATAAAGTTTTCCATTGCTCTAAAGGCCTGTTCAGACCTAAGCGGTATTCGCTACCGTCTGCGGCAGAGAAAACCCAGTGGGTATGCGGTAATATTACTGTTCAGACCTAAGCGGTATTTGCTACCGTCTGCGGCAGGGAAAACCCAGTGAGTATGCGGTAATATTACTGTTCACACGAAAACGGATTTCGCTATCCTTGTGGGTAGAATAACGCGCGGTAGTCGAGTTTCGCTCAGAGAGGTAAGAAATTTGCGCCAGTTAGTCATTTCTGAGTCGCCAAAGAATATACACGTCAGTCACGTTGTAATTTCTGCAGAGCATCTGATTTTAGTGATGGATAGTGATGAAGAGGAAGTTTTACTTTTATTAGCCTTAATTGACTCACCAGTTAAGAAAAGAATTTGGATCCATGACATCAATAGACAACACCGAATTCATGGGGAATTCCACACTTTATATCCAAGATTAAGATTGGATGAAGATCGGTTTTTTAATGCATTCAGAATGACGACTGAGAACTTTGATGAAATATTAAATATGATAAAGGAAAATATCAGCAAATCATTCACTAAATATCGAGAACCCATATGCCCTGAAGAACGCTTAGCAATAACGTTGAGGTAAGGAAAACAAATTTGAATATTAATTGACGAAAATCTTTATTTTAGATAACTAGGAAGGAACTTTGATTTTTTACAATATTAACACAACTTTTATCTTAACCTAAAACCTTCTTATTTGATTTCTGAGTGTTTCTGTTGATCGTAATCTATTTCGTGTTCGTAATCGAGACCTTCTCCAGTCAGTGAAGGTGCTAGAGGTGATAGAGCATTATCTTGAATACAACGCAGAGCAGACTGCAGTTCAGAATCATTAGTAGACTGGGGACTACGAGAATAACATGATTGTTGAGACATACAACGATCATTTTGGCTTGTGTTAGGCTCAGTGGTGTAGTAAGATCGCAGTGTTGTTTCTCGTTGTAGACTACGTTCTTGCTCTTCTTCCAATTCCGCTTCCATCATAACTTGAGCTATTTTCATTTTTGTTATAATTTTACGTCGCTCAGAAAACCTGTCTATTGTTTTTGCATATCCAAGCATAACATGTTCAATCGACGATAATTTATCTGCTTTTGTATTCAAGTACGTAATCACTTTATCAACAGGATGTTCGTTAACAGAAGTCCTTTTTCTGGAACCCGAACGTGAAGTATAACGTTCGGATGATGCTACTGAACTTGACCGTTGTGTTGAATTTTCATTATAAGATTCGGGTTCAGTAATATTTTGGGTATCAGATACGCTTTCTTCTTCTCTTGCCACATTAGTATCAGTTGGAGCAAATCCTATGTGATCTTTTAAAAATTCCATTGAAGATGCCCACTGCCATTTGCTGTAACGACTGTAAGATTTAAACGCACTTTGGCCTGTAGTGGTTTTTGTAGTTTTTAAATATTTACCATAAGTGTCCCGTAGATTTTTCCATTTCATTTTGGCTTCATCGCCTGTAAAAAATATAGTTTATTTATAATCTATTCAATTAGTTTTATTCATTAGTTATACTTAGACCAGTTTAAAACCCTGAATTTGTTTAGGTTAGTAAGGTGATAAATACTGAGGAATCTTAAAAACCAAATTTTTAGTAAAAATGGCTTAGGGCGTGGACCCATGTCTACGGTGCGGCGCCGTTCGCCGTGCAACGGTATGGCATCGCCACCGGTGGACGGCGCGGCGCCGTGCCGCACCACGGTACCGCGAACGGTGCGCCGTCCATTGCCCCTCATTCGATCGAATCAACAGCGAAATATCGACTGAAAGGGGCAATGGATGGCGGGTCCACGCCCTTAGACCTTGAGTAAAAAAGCTTATTAAATATTATTTTTTTTGCAGATTTTTAGCAAGTGGAGATTCATTTCGCTGTATTGCAAACAGTTATAGAGTGGGTTGCTCAACTGTCGCAGAAATTGTTGATGAAGTTTGTGATGTTATTTGGACTACATTACAACCCATATACATGAAGCCTCCTACAGAAGAAATGTGGAACTTAACATCTGAAGAGTTTTATAATATGTGGCAATTCCCCAATTGCCTCGGCAGTATTGATGGAAAACATGTCACTATCGTTTGTCCGCCTAATTCAGGCAGCAATTATTTTTGCTACCTCAAAAAATTTTCTGTCGTCCTTATGGCAATAGTAGGACCACACTAAAATTTTTATGTATCGATGTTGGAGGTTTTGGAAAAAATAGCGACGGTGGAATTTTCGAAAACTCTGTCATGGGAAGGAGGTTTAATAATGGGACTATGAATGTTCCAAGGCCTAAACTATTGCCAAGAACTAATGACGTCACACCTCATGTGTTAATAGGAGATGAGGCATTCCGATTGCAAGCACATGTAATGAAACCATTCAATCAAAGAGTTTCTAGGGTTGATAGAAGAAAGGAAGAATACAATAAGCGCCTATGCCGAGCTAGACGCGTTGTTGAAAATGCATTTGGATTACTGGCTCAAAAATGGCGAATATATTTCAAACCCATGCACCTAAAAGTGTCTTCAGCTAAAAAAGTGATAAAAGCAACATGCGTACTCCATAATTATTTACGCTCTAAAACTTGCAATACCCCGTACTTGCAAAATATGTATTTTACTACTCAACAAAATAATGCAATGAACAATGAATATCAAAATTTTGAAACTTTGCAACTTTCAGGTGATAGGGTACGTACACAATTTGTCAACTTCTTTAATGGCGGTAGTCGTATTTAGTACAGAATTGAAACATAATATAATAATATAATAAAAGATAAAAACTTACCACTTATGTTACATTTTTCTCCTATCTCATCCCATATTTTATTTTTCATAAATATATTTTTATAATCCGTAAGTGACATATCATACAAAACTGGATTGCACTTCACCATCTCAATAAATGAACCGTTATTCGTTCGTTTCGATGACGCCATGTTGCAAACGCGTCCTTTCGCTAAGGAATATCGTGCGTAACTATTGTCATGTTAAAATAACTAGGAAGATGCACCCCGGTCTACCCTTCCTGGCGCGTATGGGCTGAGCGTGTTCCGGCTCAAACCCGAGGTCGCGCAGCTCTGCCATGATGGCCTCGGGCTCCGTATCCGCCGGAACGCCCCGCACTGCCACCTTCAGCTGCCTTTCAGCTGGTAGGGAGTAGGAGAAGTAAACGACGTTGACGCCGCTACTCTCCAACTCCCCGAGGTACCGTTGTACCACACGGTACTCCTCCTCATCTTCGGGGATGATTTTTAACCCCTGTCCAAAAGCGCGCGCGTTGACCGAGCCTTTTTTTCATCTCCCTGATGTGTACCGTCCAATCAGGGAGGGACTCGATGACGAATGGCGGATACTTCGGTTTCAACGCGGCAGGGGTGCGAGGGGGGGCCGGCGGGCTACTGCCGGCGAAGCAGTCGTCGCGGCGTACGAAATCGCCGCGTCTTGAGGCGTTGATTGAGCCGTCGCAAGTGGGGGTGCGGGGGGCACCGTGGTGGGCGTCATGCCCATGGGCGAGGCGGTCGTCAATATATTCGTGTCCGCCGTGTCCTGCGGCTTTGTTTGAGCCGTCACTTGATGGGGTGCGGGGGGCGCCATGGTAGGCGTCATGCCCATGGGCGCATCCGCCAGGCGACGACGACGCGGGTCTCTCTGAGACAGCGGCGCCGAGTGTGCCTGCGGTTGCGGCGGCATCGTATGTTGTGACTCGATATTTGGCGGCGTCGTCTGTGCGCAGACGCGCTTGGGCGCCGTCCCGGCGGCGTCCTCATAAAAGTCCTGCGGCGGCGGGCGGCGTAAGGAAATATTATGCGCTCGCCTCGCCTTGCCTCGGCGAGCGCATTATGTTCGTCACTTGACAAAGGTGATGTTAGGACACCCTGCTCTAGTAGGCGCCTGCGGGTTTGTGCGAGATATTCGCACATCGCTCGTGCGAGCCCGTCCGTTGCGTACCGGCCTATGAGTGTCTGCGCAACAAAAAGCGCATCCATCTCATGCCCGGCCCGCGCGGATACGGGCTGCAAAGGCCGCAGGTCGCCTTCCAGGTACGCGATCAACTCTTCGGGATCGCGCCCATGGGCAGGGTTGTCATCTTGATAAAAAAGGTCTTTACTCACTGGATTTATTTGGTGAGGTTGAGGTCGGTGCGGGGTGGCGACAAGGGCGCTCTCGTCGTCCGTATACCGCGACGAGAGCTGCGGCCTTAAATCGCCTCCGTGGGCACTTAAACTTTCACTTTCACCCGAAGTCGTACGCAATGTTTTACGTTGGCCAGTTATTTCCTCCGCGGGGGAGGGGTTGTGGGGGGCCGCTGCGACGGGGTATACGTCAGCCGTATACCGCGACGAGAGCTGTTCACACGAAATGTTTTTAATTCCACTGTCTTCGGCTCCCGGTCCCGGGGCTAGATCGCTACGCGAGCGAGAGCCACTCCTGGGCCGGTCTGCCATACGCGACGCGGATGTATTTTTGGATGACGACGGCGGCGGCGGCGCGGCTCCACCGCGCGAGCGGGAGCGTTCTTTGGCGCGCGGGCCAGACTCGTCGCGACGGGATTTTCGCTCCATGGGAGCTGAGAGTCTGCCAGGCACAGCCTGGACACCTTAGTTCGGTCCGCGCATGCGCATCCCCCGGTGAGACCCGCTGGTGGGAAGCCGGGATAGGCGCAGCACTTTCCTTACCTTAGTGCCGGCGTAGTATTGGTGCAGGCGGCTCCCTCGTACGGCGTTTGTTCTTATCTTTATTTATAATAAAGATTTAGACAAATCGGATCGGATGATGTAGGCTCGTGTGCACAAACGGATGGCAGACAGCTGTCCATTGTTTTATTGCGAGATGGTAATAAATTTAACGTCTATATTTATACATCGGACAATGAGTAGTTGGAAAATTTGAAAAAAAAATCTCGCAAGCGAAGCACTAAAATCAGAATAAATATCATCAAGGTTAGTAGTTGGGAAATGTTAACTGTAGTATTTGAATAAACACAGCACAAAGTATATATTGTAGAAATTTTGTATTTTTTAGACAAGAGGTGGAGCACCGGAGTACATACCCCCAGATGAGATCCTTGACCACGTGTCCTCATTACTAGGAAGTACAGCGAATGGGTTTACAGTTGAGTTTGGGGGTGACGCAGAACCAGCTGAGTTCATCAGTGACACCGGGGCTTTGCATGTACATAATAAGGTTGTGGGAATAGAAGTATATTGTAGAAATTTTGTCTTTTTTAGACAAGAGGTGGAGCACCGGAGTACATACCCCCAGATGAGATCCTTGACCACGTGTCCTCATTACTAGGAAGTACAGCGAATGGGTTTACAGTTGAGTTTGGGGGTGACGCAAAACCAGCTGAGTTCATCAGTTACACCGGGGCTTTGCATGTACTTAATAAGGTTGTGGGAATAGAGGGTTGTCCGGTAGAGGTGCCAGCTTTCTCAATAGACAGTACTACATTGTCTATATATAATGCTGATGATGTGGTGATGGAACCAATGGTGGTGCGAGAACACTAGCTCATACTCCAGATAAATCAAAGAGATTTACATTTAACACTCCCAGAGCTAGTAGTAACTATTATTTGTGAAGTTTTTTAAATATTTACTTTTTTTCACATTTTAATATTTATCATGTTTTACAGGTAAACAAAATAAAAAACCAGACGAGGGACGTACAGAAAAAAACTTAGCCATAGCAAAATATTATTCAACGAAACAAAAAATACTTGATGCTAAGTTAAATAATATTTTGCTACAAAATAAGAAATTAGAGTTAGAAATCAAGAAGCTCGAGTCTTGATATTTAGGTATTTTATTCTACAGGGTGGGCCATATAAGAGTTGGCGATTTAATTCTTCAATTTCTCGGAAACGCGTGGCGCGGGGCAGCTGCGGCATGTAGTGTATGAGTGAAGCGCGTGTGTGCGTGCGCATGAATTGAGATACCTAAATGTTCCATTGTAGTGTGCTGTGCGTCAGTCACCAATAAACCTTGATTCGTATTACACGTCGTTTCTTTATTATCTCAGTGGCGACGAGGATTGGTTTTCGTAAAAAGTTAATAGTTTCTAGACAAAATGCCGATCGGGAAATTGACGGAATTTAATGTAACGACTGGAAATTGGACTTTGTATATCGAAAGAGCGGAGATGTTCTTCAAAGTGAATGAGGTGAAAACAGATTTGTGGCTACCCACTTTAATCGCGGCTATGGGAGATGAGTCTTATGAATTATTAAGTAATTTGACTAGTCCAGATTTACCAAGCTCAAAAACCTACACAGAAGTCGTAAGCGTGATTAAAAACCATTTACAACCGAAACCATCATTTATATCGCAAAGGTATCATTTTCGACAGAGGCGACAAAATGCGGGTGAGTCGATATCGCAATATCTCTCGGAGTTGAAGAAAATGGCCAAATATTGCGAATTTAAAACTGCTTTAGAAGATAACCTAAGAGATCAGCTGATTTGTGGGTTGCGGAGTGAATTAATCAGACAAAGGTTATTCGCGGAAGAGAATCTGGTGTATGGAAAAGCAGTAACCATAGCCTGTGCAATGGAAGCGGCAGAAAAAGATGCAGCGGCGGTGGAACAAAAGACGACGGGTGGCGTGACCGACCCGGGTGGCGGCAGCGAGACCGGCAGCGCGGCTAGTGCGCTGAACGCCGTGAACGCGCACTCCGCGCGGCGGAGCGGAACGGGCCACCGGGGGCGAGGGGGCGCACGCGCACCGGCGGCGTCGTCGGGGCCGGATCGGAAAGGACAGGGTGACTCAAGATACAATTGTTATGCGTGCGGAGCCGCGGGACACGGCAGCGATGAGTGTCGCTACCGACGCTTTATCTGCGGGAGATGTAAGCAGCGCGGGCATTTACGTCGTGTGTGCCCATTGAATAATGGGGGGCCACGAGGATCGCGAGGAGGAATACACAGCAACATGGTAGCCCATGTACGAACCAGGGACGAAGCATCGTCGGAGGGGATGGATTTTCCTGAGTGGTCGGGAGATGATGAACCTCCATCAACCTCGGACGAGGAGAACTGGCAAGTGGAGGAGCTACATCAACTAAGTTTAAATAGTTATAAGCCGGTAAGTGTTGTAGTGATAATTGATAATAAGTCGTTATCAATGGAAATTGATACAGGGTCCGTGGTGTCTTGTATAAGTAAGGAGAAATACGACAAATACTTTTGGAACAGACCTATAGAAAAAACTAATTTTGTTTTTAAATTTATTGATGGTTCTTTAATTAAACCGTTAGGTGTAATAAAACCATTAGTTAGTGTGGGGGACAAAAGTAAAAATATGGAGTTGTTTATAATCAATGGCGGTACGACTTCGATTTTGGGCCGTCAATGGTTATCAGAATTGGCAATTAAAGTACCTATGTATAAACAAAATATTATAACAGCCGGTTTAGAGCAGAAAATTTCAAGTAATGGGAATAACTTGTCACAATTACTTTCCAGGCATAGCGAGTTGTTTTCGGAGGGATTGGGCCGGTTCACGGGAGGGGTAGCCAGGCTGTGGGTGCGCGAGGGGGCGGTGCCGGTGCCCTACGCGCTGCGCGAGCGGCTCGACGACGAGCTGGAGGGCATGCTGCGCGCCGCCGTCATCGAGCCGGTGGAGAGCGCGGACTGGGCGACTCCCCTCGTTCTTGTGCGTAAGGCTGACAATGAACTCCGTATCTGTGCCGATTATAAAGTAACACTAAATCCGGTTCTGGTAGTTGATAGGTTCCCGTTGCCGCGCATCGATGATCTATTGGTGAGATTAAACGGTGCTAGGATTTTCTCAAAAATCGATTTATCGCAGGCTTACAACCAGATTGAACTCAACGACCCTGATAACTTAACAGTCATCAACACACACAAGGGTTTATATAAGTACAAAAGATTAGTATACGGGTTATCCTCCAGCCCCGGTATTTTTCAACGGATACAAATCATGACAAATCTTTTCAACGATATTCCCAACACAGGGGTATTTTTAGATGATGTAATCATCGGAACGTCTAATACACAAGAACATTTAGCAATTCTAGAAAGAGTGTTACAACGCTTATTAAATAATGGAATGAGGCTTAAGAAAAGTAAATGTTCATTTATGATGAGTGAGGTAAAATATTTAGGATACTTAATATCGGCAGATGGAATAAGAGTCGATCCCGAGAAAATTACACAATTAATTTTTATGCCAAGTTCATAATTAATTTGAGCGCTACACTCGCCCCACTGTACAACCTGTTAAAAACAGGCGCGGAGTGGCACTGGGATAGAGAGTGCGAAAAAGCGTTCAAAAACATTAAGAATATTTTAATTAGCGCAGACGTACTGGCCCACTGTTTTTTAGGGTTATAACGGAACTCCGCCTCTGCCTCCGTTACTGCGGAACTTCTGCAAAGAATTTAACCTCCGCCTCGAGTCATATCGGAAGTTCATTTACGATCACAAACAACGCGCAAGGAGCGACGCTAGGCGACGCGGCCACTCGGCTGCGTGTTTTCAAGTGAAATGGTCGAGACTCGAGAGTTTGCTTAAGCCGCGGGAACACGGCCAAGCGGGTGGTGGGAGTGTGAGTGAATGAATAACAGGAATCAACTTGTCAAAGCGTTCGGTACCGCGTAGTTGCAATTGAGCCGTGATTGTTTTAAGTAATTTTGTGCGTAATTATTAGTTATTGTTATTTAAATAACGTGATGAAGCCGAAAACTAGTGAAATTTGGCAGTACTTTGTAGAAGTAGACGATAATTATGCAAAATGCAAAAGTTGCGGGAAAAATTATTCAAGAAAAGGCCGGACAACAACATCACTGAAAGGGCATTTAAAATCTATACATAAAGAACAATTTGAAGAACTT